ATTTTAAATGTATACATTCCAACACCAGATATGTACTAAATGTACATGACAAAATGTACTAAGAGAAACAATGTAAATTTTGATTACCATTGCTCAAAACTAACAACTATTTTAAGGACACTCAAATATAATAATAATAATAGAAAAAAATGTATTAATTTAGAGTAGACAAACCAATTATGTTGAATTAAAATAAAACACAATTATGTAAAAAGTTAAAAACAAAAATGTATCGTTTGTGTATATGAAACGAATGTTATAAATAACTATAAGCTTAAAAATATGTATATCAAAATCAACTCTGAAAAAATTACATTTTATACATATTTACAATAAGTTAAACCCCTTCACTAATATTAACATGTATTATCAATATTTGTATTACCCAAAATTTAAACATTAAGTTATCCCAAAATATGAGGTCATATTTTATTTTAAACTCATAGGACTGTTGCATTATCACCTAACACCTAATTTAATTTAATTATTATTATAAGCATAAAATTAATATATTGTCAGCAAACGCACACCACCTTCACGAAATGCTGACCAGATAGATTGCAGTAGAATAAAACCCCTTCCCGCAAGACGTGATGTCGTTCGTTTTACTGCCATCGATGTGGAGGACGGAACGCTGCCCGTTTTACAAGCGAAGTAGTCGGTTATTCTTTTGTTTTTTTTGTATTAATAAATATTTTTTGTTTCACTGTCTTAAATTAAAACGTTTTAAGTATAATTATAAAAGATGTTCGTATTAATTTTTTTACTTTACGTACTTGTGCGAGTATATGAGAAAGTTGGTACATTTACAAAAAGGGTATTAAAACTATATTGTATTTCAAACCTCAATCCAGTGCTAGAATTTATTCTTTGTCAGTTTAAGGGGAGAGTATAATATAGTTAGGTAAAGGTTACCTTACGCTCGAAACATCCAGTGCTAGATCTTTTTCTTTGTCAGTTGTTTCGAGTGTAAAATAATTTTAGAGCTACTAAAGGAAAGTTAAGTAAAGATTGTATTCTTTGTCACTTAATGAGGTAGTCGTCCGGGCCAATTATAAAGGTTTTTCTTTACGTGCTTGTTTGACGGTTAGTGTCCAACAACCGACAGATACCCTTTTTTGAGTTGCTATACGTCACACCTTTGCGTGGCGTATACGACAGGATATTTAAACCAAGTATGCGATACTATGTCAAAAAACCCCGTGTTTGAACCACCTACTTTAGAACAAGAAATACAAAAAGATAATGACTTAGCAATTTGTAAAATAAAAACTATCAATATACAACTGGAACTATTGCGTGATAATATATACAATAACATTATTAAAGCATTACAAAATCTAGAACTTTCAAATCATATATGGATAACAAAATCAAACAATTATTTTATAAATGAAAATCAAATATTAATGTATAAACACTTATCAAAAGGGCAATCAACAAATTTAACTACACTGCCAAACAACCGTATTAACAAAAATTTAAACGATTCCCACGATCGTTCGATATCAGGCCATTTAGGTGTAGATAAAACATACAATAAAATTATTGAAAGATATTTTTGGCCCACAATATATAAAGATATACGTAAATATGTAACTTCGTGCATTAGTTATCAAAAAAGAAAATCGGATAAAACAACGATGCACTGCTACAAACAAAAAAGTATAAGGAATAGGTAATTATCTAATTAATGTTAAGCCAATCAAGTAGTTGAGTATAAAAAGTACAATAAACATAGTATTAGTATTAAAACTTTTATATATAAGGCATAAATAATAATTCCATTTCAAAAGTGATTAACATATTAATATATTAACAGGTATTTTTATTTTATTTTTTCTCTTTACCTTTTTTTCCCTACATCATGCAACTTGTTTTGCAATGTCAGATTTTAACTTAATGCTAATATGTGGACACATCAATTTATTATGAAATATTATTAAAAAAAAAAAAATAAATCAAAATATTATAGTGTTGGGAAGGAACGCGTTCTATTTAAAATATAGGAACGAGGAACGGGAAAGAAAATTTCCATTCCTCAAATAATGAAAAAAAAAAAAAAATTAGTTATTTTTAATGATAATATTTTCTAGAATATATTTAGTGTTGACAATTTGGTATCACTTCATCTATCATTAGTAAATAGTAAAACGAACAACCTAGGTTATAATATTGGTATATTTTAAATTTTAATTTAAGCTGGGTTCACATTACACCGTCACGTGTATTTTACCAGACCGTGTGCTTTGAAAATAAATATTTGGTGTGATACCAATATATATCTAATGATGATGTTATCAAATTTTGGTTACATATTTTCACAGTTTTTTTTATTAGATATGAAATATTTTCATAAGTTTCAATAAATAATAACTGATGAATATTAAATTATATAGTAGACAGTATCTATTATATTATTAATATTAATATAATATATAGGGCTCGGAACTTAATGCACTTAATTTTTTTTAACGCAAAAATGTTCATAAATAAAGATATTTTATTAAATATACTCGTACATAACAGTACAAATGTATTTAATGTAATTAGTTCATTTAGAAAAAATAAAAAATTCTTTAACTTCAACACAAACTCTTCCGATCAATACCGATGGCTATCTACAATCGAAGAATTTTTAAAACTATCAAATTTAACACTAAATTTTCAAATTTTCAGTTATTATTTATTTTAAATTTTCCCATTTGTAACACAGAAGATTATATACTATATCGATTATGGCCCATGCCGATCGAAATAATTACATTTCAATTTTTATTTATACAACCTAGTAATCCGTACCTAGCTATTTTACAAGATAAATAAAAATTAATTTCTTTAACAGAAACTGATTATGCCATTTGCAACTCACTAGCTGTTACAAAATACTTATTGCTAAAAAAATGTTGTATTTTTAAAGAATTATTCGATGTGTGATATTCAACTTTTTGATTCAGTTAACCTTACCAAATTACCCGATTACTGGGAGGTACGCCATGGTCATCATGACAATGTTCATTTTGAAAAATTACAAAGTAATAACTCATTTATTTATTGGATAGCCAATAAAATACAAATAACTCTAGTGTGTCCAACTTTAACAACGTTCCATCAACTTCACGGAACAGGTATTTTAAATAAACCAGTGAATTGTATTATATATACACCGTTTACCATACTAACACCAATCAAAAAAGAAAATAAAACAATTTTTACAAATTTTTATCCAGAACTGAAAAAGGAAATAAAAAAGATTTCATTAATTATAGACCTATCTCAACAGTAGGAATTTTAGCTAAAATCCTTGAAAAAATAATTAAAAATCAACTATTAGAGTTCTTGGAAAAAAATAAAATAATATATCATGGACAATATGGGTTTGGAAAAAAATTAGGAATAGAAGACGCTTTAATTGACATAAATAACTTTTTACATAATAAAAGGGATATTAAAAAAAAAATTCTAATTACGTTCTTGGACTTGGAAAAAGCTTTCGACTCAATTAGAAGAAAAGTATTACTCATCAAGTTAAAAGAATTAGGCTTTGATGAAAATACATTAAATTGGTTTACTAGTTATGTGAGTAATAGACAACAAATAACCACCGTTGGACCTCACCACAGTAATTATTGCTATGTCAAAAATTATGGAGTTACTCAAGGTACATCATTAGGCTCCATATTGTTTTTATTATACATTAACTTATTAACTCTGTACCTGCATCATTATTAAAAGGAAAATTAAAAATTATTCATGTTTGCTGATGATATAGCACTAGTTAATTTCGAAGATACTTGGGAAAAATTAAAACAAACTGTCGAAATAGATTTACGTTATACATATGTATGACTGACTAAAAAAAAAATTGATTATCACTTAACATAAATAAATCGGTCTGCATGCCAATAGTTACAACTCATACACAGCTTCCTGTTGGATACAGTTTTATAATACATAATTGTAGAACTAGTACGACAAATTGTAATTGTAAGCCAATTAGAATGGTTCTATCATTCAAATATTTAGGAATAACAATAGATTTTAATTTAAAATGGACAGAACATATACAAAATATTAAAAATAAAATAAGGAGCTTAACTGCTTTATTCTATAAAATTCAATTTCTTAATAAATCTATTATAAAACAAATTTATATGGCATTATGTAATTCAATACCACTATACGGTATAACATGTTGGGGAGGCTCTAATAGAACAAACATAAATACATTATATATAACCCAAAAAATGATAATAATAATAGCGTAATTATTACCATTAAAATACCCATCAGGGGAATTATTCAACCATACAAATATACTATCTATCTATAAATTATAAATTAGATAAATTTTAATAAAATACATACAAAACTATACACTAAACGCTACAGAAATAATAGAGAGAAGAACAGGTAAATACATTAAACCATCATATACGTTTTTAATAAACTCAAGGAACTTCTCCAATCACATGAGAAAAACTATATTCAACAATTTAAGTAATGATGTGAAGAGTCTAATAAAAAGCTTATGTGAAAACCAATCTAATAATACCAATGATATAGTTAATAAAAATCAAATGAAAAAGGCTATAAATAAAATAGTTAATGGTCTAGATGAGAATGTGTATTAATGAAATTTTAAAAAGTCAATATGTTTAATTGTAAGATCTTATTGAATGTGTATATGTTAAATATGCTACTAAAACATGTTCTATGAAATTTGTGTTTACTGTAAAATATTAATTAATTAAGTCTTATCTTCAATTATATTATTATATTAAATAATCTTACTACAATAAGAATTATAATTTATAAGAACTCCGTATAGCAGATACGAGCTTAGCTCAGTTGATCATGTTGGTAATCAGCTATTGTTAATTTATTCTTAATGTAATAATTTACTTATTGTTATCATGTAATTGTAATTAATTTTTTTTTGGCTGAAATAAATAAATAAAATAAAAAAAATAAAAATTTATATATTTTAAAATGTGTTATAAAAATATGTTAATTTAAAAATGGGGGGGGGGGTAATGTAACAATTGTTACATATGCTTACAAGAAATTACGTTCCCCCCCTGCTTTACTATATTAAATATAGTAAGGCTACGGCCAAATACTAATAACGGGGGGGTCGGGAGTTCGCGACGACTACCATCATGCATAGGAACTCCTGGACAACTCCATATTTATATTTTGTAAGTATCAATAAACCTTTATGCAATAGTTACTATTAAACCAATCTCCATTTATTTGTAATATTTGTATCTCAAATAACATCTATGCTTCCAAGCTACGGTAAAACATATTCAAAAGGACCTGAAAACCTTGCCTGAAAATCTTATATCTAATTAGTCACCCCGATCACGTTACAGTAACTCTATGAGAAATAGCAGCCACGGAAGGCCTTTTTTAATAACAATGGTCACACATCTGATAGAGTGACCCAACTCCGAAAGTGCATCAGATATATCAGATATAAGTGTTGTGTGGTGCAGATTTCTTATTATGACCTTGAAAGGTCGATATGATGATGGCATAAAAGTGTGAAAACAGACACTAGTGACCATTAAACGTTGCGTGATTATGTTCAATATTAGCGACCACGAAGACGAACAATTAGAAACATAAGATGCGAAAATTCGAAATGTTAATAAATGGTTGGAAAGAAATGTTCACGATTAACATTGGAGCATCAAAAGTTTAAGTGGTGCGGGATGAATGGGTGTCTGCGGATAAAAAGTGTGATCACATGCATTTAGTACTATCACAAATCATATCGGTTATTTCATGAATGGTTCTTTGCAGGAACAATAATTATAAATATTATTATTCGTTATTTTTCAAATGCGTTATCGTATGTATTATCAAATCAAAACATTGTTGAGTACACGAACTACTACATAGTAGTTATACATACGTACTAGTTTGTGATTAAATAAAAAGTTTAATCATAGTTATTGTCAAAAACAGGCTTGGGTGATGTAAGTTGGGGGGGGGGGGGGGTAAATGGTGGCTCGGTGGCAACGGCAGAGGATGCGGAGGTAGGGATTGCAAAAGAACATTCTTACTTGCGTGTTACGAGCCTCTTTACAGGTCCTATAATGAGTGGGGTATTACAAGCACAATTGTTTTAATCTAATATGGTTAAGTCCCTTACAGTATTTGACACATCGTACATAAGCTATAATTATATCTAAACTAATAATAATAAATTCATTTTACTAGATACTCGTCCTAGATACTGGGTCAGAAATGAATCCCACGACGTCTTCACGTAATGTTAACATTCTTAGCTCCGAAACTGCTGACGCGAAGAACAAATACCTTGTATAAAAAAACTACAGTGGTTTTTTTCTGTTTTTGTTAAAAGAAAAAACAAATGGTATACGAATGTTATATGTACGTTTTGATATACTGTTTGCTCAGGATAGTATATGTATATATATATATATATATATATATATATAACTATTTTTCAATGAATTTATGAGATTTCAGCAAAAAATACAGTAGATCTCTTGTAAACATTGAATATATTTCATTATATATCACCTCTAATGGCGCCGGACAACTGATGTGTGTGTTGTGCTCGTCAGAATTTTCAAGCGCCTCCACGTTTGTATTCAAATAACTCTTTTCAGCATTTCCATTCTATCATCTTTTTTCTTTTTTTTTTTCATATGAACGTGAGACATCTCGTCACGTATCTCGAAGAATGCTGACGCGACTCAGAATATTTGTTATACAGCGCCGCGTATGAATACTTATAACTTATACCTTTAATAATAATTATAAATGTGTATATGTATAATATGGACGTTCTAATAACGTATGAGTAGTGTAATTATTACCTGAGAAACGACGGTGTATTGATGATGCTGAATAAACTGCTAGCACTCGTAGTCTCCCGGTGAAAAGGCTTCCTTACGTTGTTTTTCTGCAAAAGAACACCGCAGAACACTGAGACCACAAGATGTTGTGGGACCGTTCGGTTATATCTAGAGGTAGGATTAATATTCTCTTAAAATCCTTAACATATGATGTTTTCATATCGTTCAAAAAAGGCAATATATTCTCTAAATATTCGTTATAAATACCATATGTATGATGGTTTGTCTTTAAAAATACAAATATTCTTCCAAAATTCTGTAAAAATAAAAATAAAATTATTTTAATTACTTGGTTTAAATTTATCAATTACTAAATGTTATTATTAATTCGATTTACATTCGATAACATTTTTAAAAAGAAAAAATCGGTTTTAATACAAATTTTAACTGTACGTAGATTATGCCTAATATCTAGTGATTCATTTTTATAATAACCTAGAAGGATATAAAAATAACTCACATTGTGAATATTGTATTTATTGATCGATATTATCAAAATGCTGACGTACATAATATGCGTATGGATGTGTAGAAAAATAATAGGTAATATAAATTATTTTCTTCGAAAAAATCATTTACAGAAATAAAAATATTTATTAAATATTAAAATATTCTTAAATATTCTCTAACGTACCTATTAAATATTTCTATAATAACCCAAAATACAAAAATAAAATAAAGTGGGGAGATGGTGGTATATATGTATATGGCGGTGAGATATTAATGTATTAAAGAGTTGTTACCTTCCTCCTTGTGTAAGGGAGGGCTCTCAGGGTTGTGAAGATTCGAGAGCCGATCTGCGCAATTATACAGTTTGTCAAGCTAAATAAAGCAGCACTTACTTGTTTTACCGAAGACCTTCAGATATCGATGCGAGGTTGAAATAAAAAGACAAATTGCACTGGAACCGGATACTCTTCAACGCTCGTACGAAGAACGCAAGTCGAACGGATTAAAATTACAAGTCAAAATAAATCGCACGTTAATCTTATGATCGGTGCGCATGCACTGACGACCTAAAATCAAGAGCTCTGGGAGGGTTGTATGTCCCTGTTATATAGGGACATCTGGTGGCATGGACCTTGGACCTTTCCTTTGAATGTAGGGATGTCAATAGTATTTATTGTTCGACCCGTGTTGTTCGCGTGGGTATCGAAGATACCATTATTTATTTATTTGAAATGGTTTAAAAACCACGTACATATAAATAGTATACATTATTATACTTATAATAAAATATTTGTGCCGTCTTTTATAATCGAATGATGCACATCATTACATTTCCTAACCCATAAAATATGCTTTTTTATGCAAAATAAATTTTTTCTGTGAATTCTGTTATTGAATCGTAAAGATATCTCACTCCTATTTAATAGCATAGACTATAAACAAATATGTAAAATTATAAAAATCCGACCTCTAGTTATATTCATCGGCTCCAAGTATCGTGTATGAATTCGTCTTTTTCGACACAACGTGAGAAGATGAAGGAACAATATAAATTAACAATTCTTCGATTGTTTAACTTGATTTGTCAAAACTACTAAAAATTACTCGAGAACAGTAGGTTTACTTATTACTAGGAACCGAACCGGAACTGGAACCGTACAATTCTTCAAGGTTTTGGTCCCTGATTCGTATTCGATAATATTTAACTCAACAATACAAGAATATTATTGTAAATAAATTGTTCTACAAATTCGCCATTTATATTATAGCGGTATTAACTAACCTTATAGTAATACATTGTGTATTACTCTATGGAGCAGACCCATTGTACTGTACGATAACATCACTGCATGCCAGTGGTTACCACCAAAGACATTCTGAACCGTAACGGACAAATGCGTCCATTTTTGAACCAGTTGCTTGTTATCACGGCTGCTATCATTTTCCCGCGTCGTGTGTTTATGTTCGGTTCATCATTTATCGGACATTCACATTTTTTGGTTTTTCACCGTTTAATTTTGTTCCGTTCAATTGCTGCTGCCTAATATAATATTCGTTCGACGGTCTGGTGAAATTACTTTGATATGGATATGGAATTCCAAGACATCCGTGCCGAAGTGAAGGGACTTTTGGTGAGTATTTTTTACAATAATATCGTGATGTACAGAATTTGTATTACAGATGCAATTGTCGTATTGATATAACAATCCGTCAATAATTAGACTAATTTCACTTCTTACTAAATATATTTGTAATTAAATGCGGATAAAGTTTTATTTAATTAAAATGTTGATTGAACTCAAAATAACTCCACTATTTTTTGTTAGGCAATCTGAACTTGAGTCTTAAAATAAAATGCTTGTCTAACTCAATTGGAATAGTTAAAATTGTATAAAGTGCAAAACTATATTAATCTCGTTATCTTTGTCTCTTATAAAGTAAAGAGTTGAATGCTTTTATAAATAATCTTTAATGTTAAATAATCAAAAATCAAAATGCCAATAGTAACTGATTTGCTTATAATTCAATAAATTAGTGTTCGAAAAATTAAGCTAAAAAATTTACCTGTTTATTAAATTCTAGTTGGATATTTTTAATATTTTTTAAATGTCAAAATATTTTAGTAGTATTTTGATGTTTTTTTTATCAAATTTTTGATTCCTAAAAAAAAAAAATGTCTTATATTTTGTTAGTTCTGTTTATTAACTATGCTATTTACTTATACTATATATTATCAATTTATTATTGTACATATTAATATTATATTCTTATATATTTCTTTCAGTGCACTGGACGACTTAAGTTAACTGAGAACAATATTGTGTTTAAAAATGTGAAAACTGGAAAAGTAGATCAATTAACATCTTCTGATATAGAATTTGTTAATTGGCAAAAACTAGTTGGTACATGTGGTGTCAGAATATTTTTAAAAAATGGTAACCTCCATCGTTATAGTGGCTTTAATGAATCTGTAAGTTGTCCTTTAATTATTTAAATAAAGGCTTAGTAAAAAAAATATTTATTTTTTTCATAGGATCAAGAAAAAATTGCTAAGTATTTTAAAAACACTTATCACTTGGATATGCTAGAAAAAGAATTGGCTATTAAAGGCTGGAATTGGGGTAGTGCTAAATTTAATGGATCGATATTAAGTTTTGATGTTGGTAACCTAACTGCATTTGAAATACCTTTAAACAATGTTTCCCAATGTACAACTGGCAAGAATGAAGTGACATTGGAATTTCATCAGGTTTCTTTTTTTTAATTAAATATATTGTGCAGTAATACAAATATGATTTCAAATGTTAAATAAAAAAATAAGTACTCCTATACATTTTTATACCTTCTAAGTTCTATATTTTTAAAACAAAATTATACTTGACAACCATCATTATCTCGTTTAAAAATCCAATCTTTGCCATTGCATCATTTGTATTAGCAAATATTAATACTTAAATGATTAGTGTAAATTAATAGTATTGATTATAGAATGATGAAGCACCTGTCAGTCTTTGTGAAATGAGATTCCACATTCCATCGGCTGAACTTGCAGGTGAACAAGATTCAGTAGAAGCTTTCCACGATCAAGTAATGAAACAAGCTAGTGTTATATCCATATCCGGAGACGCAATTGCAATATTCAGAGAAATGCAATGTTTAACTCCTCGGTAATTATTACTAAAACTATTATAAACTAAAGAATGTTTATTTATTTTATTTATATTGAATATTATTTTAGTGGTCGTTATGACATAAAAGTTTTTCAAACTTTCTTCCAACTTCATGGTAAGACATTCGATTACAAAATACCAATGACTACTGTTCTTCGACTATTCATATTACCACACAAAGATGGCCGTCAAATATTCTTTGTAGTCAGTTTAGATCCACCCATTAAACAAGGTCAAACCAGATATCATTATCTAGTATTATTATTCAATATGGAAGATGAAACATCAATGGAACTTCCATTTACTGAGTAAGTTAAACATTTAAATTAATTATTTTCAATCTAAACTATAGGATTTTTTTCTTAATTACTAAAAGAGAGAAATTAAATATATTTTCATTTGATTCTAGTGAAGAAATTGAATCCAAATATGCTGGAAAACTAACTAAAGAACTTTCTGGTCCCACATATGAAGTTCTTGCTCAAGTTATGAAAGCTATTGTCAATAGAAAAATCACAACACCAGCCAGTTTTAAAGGGTAATTATTAAAAAAATGACTACTGAATTATAAATTCCAATTAGAACAAGATCGTTAATTTTATATTTTTAAAAATAAAATATTTGTACTTTAATAGTAATGCATGTTTTTTCATTTAAATAATGTTTTATACTTAATCATTTTCTCTATATTATTATATTTTATTGATTTAATAAAAATTTTAATACTTAAATCATATAAAATATATAGTTATTTTGTTTTTATATTATTTTAATAATATAATATGATATTTATTCAAAATAAAATACATTCTTTAATTTTTTATCAACAATTATTACATCTTGTTCTATAAGGGAATATGTATTTAATAATATACAAAAAAAATGAAATTATATATAATGTGATAAAATCCTTATTAGTGTTATAGATTTGATAAACAATAATAACACTACTTTTAATAATTTAAATTTACATTTTTGTATATTAAATAATTTTAATTTATAAACAATAGTCCATATTATCCAATGCAATTTTATTATTAAATATTATTTAAATTATGTCAGCCAGAATTTATTTATTATTTATTGATTTTTAGTCATTCCGGTACATCAGCTATTGGTTGTTCTTATAAAGCTGCTGCTGGTTATATTTACCCACTTGAAAGAGGCTTCATTTACATACACAAACCACCTCTTCACATTAGATTCGAAGAAATTTCCAGTGTGAATTTTGCAAGAGGTGGTGGTAGTACTAGGTCTTTTGATTTTGAAATTGAGCTAAAAAATGGGGTTATACATACATTTAGCAGTATAGAAAAAGAAGAATATGGAAGTCTGTATGATTTCATTAATGCCAAAAAGTTGAGAGTAAAGAATACAGGAAAATCGGTAATTATGTTATTTTTTTTATATTATGCAGTATTAATTATTTATTATATTTAAATACTAGGATAAACCAGCTTATACTGGAGATGACTATGGGGATTCAGATAATGAAGCAGAACCTGATGCTTATTTGGCTCGAGTTAAACGTGAAGGACAAGAACGTGATGAGGATGATGATTCAGAAGAGAGTACAGATGAAGACTTTAACCCTGAAGGACAAGAAAGTGATGTTGCAGAAGAGTATGTATAATTTAATGTTTAAATTCTTGAACTTTTAATAAAATTGAATCTTCTATAGATTTGATAGCAATCCATCAACAACAGATTCAGAATCTGAAAATGAAGGAGGTGTTAGTGGAAGCGGGGATAAGAAAGAAAAGAAAAAAAAAGATAAAAAACCTAAAACTGCTAAAACTATAGTATGTATAAAATATTAATATTTTAGTATGCATAATTTAATAATGGTAAATATATTAATTTCTGTATTATTACTGAAAATATAATGTTTAATATAAAACATAATATTTTATTAATATCAAAAAGTATTTCTATTTTTTTTTTATACCTATATAATCATTGGCTATATTTATTAAATAATTTTGTTAAAAGCAAATTAATTCTTAAAAATAAATGTAATACAATTATAACAGAACTAAAAATGATTAATGTTTATATTTTTTTTAACTTCTTTATGCTGTCAGTTGAATTAATAAAAATATCAGTTATTATTAGTCATATTAATCAAAGTCTTATTTATTTAATTTAGTCTGAAAAGCCACGAAAACCCAAAAAAACCAAAAAACCAGATGATGGTAAACCCAAAAGAGCAGCTTCAGCTTACATGATATGGTTTAATAGTGCACGTGATAGTATTAAAGCTAATAACCCAGGAATCTCATTTGGTGATATTGGTAAAAAAGGAGGTGAAATTTGGAAGAAAATGTCATCCAGTGATAAAGCGGTAATTTATTTAGATTTATTTCTGGTTGTAGCTATTAATGAATTATAATTTTAAACAATTTGGTGTATTTTATGTTTTAATTTCTGTATAATATATTTTAAATTCCTAATTGGTTTAATTTATTAACTAAATATACAAATCAAAAAATTATTTTCTTTAGTATTATGTTAATTGAATATATAAAATAACATAAAATTTAATTCAGTGTTAAGTGTCAATAACAAAATTTCTAATCATTATTTATTTTTATATCAGAACATGTAATATAACCTATGCTTACATAATTTATTTAGGAATATGAAGAAAAAGCATCAAAATTAAAAGAAGAATATAATAAAGCTATGAAAGAATTTAAAGAATCTGGTGGAGGTGCAAAAGCTCCCAAGGAATCATCAAAAAAATCATCCTCAACAAAATCGTCTACTCCGAAAAAAGTTGCAACACCTGTTAAAAGTGGATCATTTATTTCAAAAGAATTTATTGAATCTGATGACTCGTCAAGTGATGATGATAAAAGCAAAGTTAAATCTAAAATTGAAACCGTAAGTTAATTCATATACATTTTATTATACTTAAAATACATGTGTATATATGTATCAAAATATATCATAAAATATTAACATTATTGTGACCTATAAAATGTGCATATAAAAATAATTCTAATTAATAGACCAATAGACAGTTCAGTTGTATGATTACTTCAGTTCTTCTTTTAATGTTAGAAAAACCATGATTCTTTTTTTAAAAAAGCATGATCATGTTATTAAGCTCCTTTAAAAAGATTTATTTATTTATTTTTAACATTCAAAAAAAAAAAAAAGAGGTCCTTCACTCGAAGTTTTCCTATCCGCCAATCTCATCATAATTATCATTAAATTCACTTATTTTTAAATGCAGTTAATTTTAAATTACAAAATATTAAATTGTAGCTATTTAAATAATATGCTGTATATAAATTACTCAGAAACAACATATTTTATACACAAGCTTTTACAAGGTAGAATAGTATAGATTAAATTATTAGTTTTAATATTTTGCTTTATAATGTATTGTCTTTAGTTTAATTGTTTTTTTTTTTTAGAAATCTTCAGATGACTCAAGTGATGATAAACAATCTAAACCCAAACAATCTAAAATGACTGTTGTTGAATCTAAATCGAAAAGAAAAAAGGTATTTTTGTTTAATAATTCTTAATGCATTTTTAATAATTAACTGATGTTTGCTGTAAATATAGGAGTCGTCTGATGAATCCAGCGATGGAGATAGAGCTAAAAAAAGTAAGAGTGATTCAGAAGAATCTGATGATGATGAAAAGAGTAGTGAAAGCTCACCAGATCCTAGTGATTCCGATTAAGTGTTATGGTTAATTAATTGTGTAATTGTGTAATTGTGTACCTTATTGTCAACTCACAAATATTTAATTAGTTGGTTAATTTTTTTGTAAACCTTATTTGTACTTATAATTAAATTAAAATATTATTTTATTTATTAGACTCCATCAATATATTTGGTGTCTTACTTAATTTAGTACATATTTTATCTTTGTAGTTCATAAAATGTAGAGTTATAATAATATAACATATGATTATTTATTGATTAATATTATGTACACCCTTTAAATGAATAGTTCTACAAAAACACTTAGAAGGTTATTTATGAATTTTTGATATCTCATCCAAAATAGTTCCTTTAAATATTTTGACTGATATATTTACCAATGAAAAATTAAGTTTTATAAATTGTATTTTGATAAAAAAAAATATAAATAACAATCATTTACTGAAGCAAGTTATGACAGTTTAAGTCGGTTGGTTATTTTTGAATTTTTGAATTAGTATTTAATTTTAATGAATATAAAAAAAAGTTTAGCCATTTTATTCTTACTATATAATGACATAATACATATTGTTTGTTATTAGTTATTTATAAGTTGTATATACATACATTTTTAAAGTTAATTCATGTAATAATTTTTGATGTTTTAAATCAAAATATATTTAAACGTAAATAAGAATTTAAATATATCGATTTTTAAGACAGAAAACTGAAAAACATAAATGTTTACTGTTCATAGGAAAAATGTATAGTGGTTCAATTCGTCTCCATATCTATCATTATATTTTTTAAATTTATTGTTAAATGTTATTTCATTTTTGTTGTGCTCGAACCATATACATTTTGGATGCAGTGTTTCCAACGTATGCCATAGTCCCCGATTGAAAACGAAAAATGCAATAATATACTATGAAATTGCATTGTTACCGCGTTTCCGGCAAAATGTAGACATAAGAACTGAAGCTCAAAAATAATGTTATGTTGATACATGTTATTGTATTGATATGGCAGAAATACATGTTTCATGTGAATAAATGGGAAAATGAATGAAAAACTACACATATTATAATGGATGTGATATAATATACATATATGTAATACTATACACGTAACAAAATATAAATTCTAAAAATAAACAAAACATAACGCAACGAAAACGTATAAAAAGTAATGTTGCGGACGGCCGGTTTCGCTCAGTAAAAAAAAAAAAAAAAAAAAAAAAAAATACAAGCGGCGATATCCGTGTTAAATAATAAACACGCGTTACTGTCGTACAAACAAGATGTACTTTGGCGTAGCTTTGACTGTGGGTAAAAAAATAATACGGTTTTTGATTTCTTGCCGTCGGGAATGTATATATATATAAAAAAAAAAACATTCACGATAATTTACCAAACGCCGGTGAAATGAATCCCGCGGAAGTGCCGTAATCCGTCTTCATCTGTATGAAACTCCGAACGCTAACTGAAAAAAATATGAAATAAATGTTACTGTTTAGTTACATTAAATTATTATATGCGTACACCTGTATTTCAGGGGGTGCCTACAATACTTTTGGGCCCTATCTTAACAAAACGTGTAGGTACTCCTATATTTAATAAATGATAATGTATAAATAATTAAACATACCTAACACAAATTGTTTATCTAATATTGTGATAAATTAGATCCAATGAATTTTTTCCTTGAACCTCGTATGTATATTTTTCTCTGATGGCTTCAATTACTTATGATTTATATTTTTATAATCGATTGTAGCTATTATATAATCATAATAAGATTTTGCACGAAAATTTAGAAAATTTGGTTTTATTTTTTTTTATTATGAAACGTAAATTATTTTTTACTCAAAATTTTAGAATAAATTACATTTAATTTGAGCAACATCAGTTAAAATATAGGTCCTTTTCTCTTAGACTTAAAATACTAGGTCCCCATTTACAAAATTTCAGAGGGTTAGGTCCAAGGGCGTATTTAGACTTACTTTTAGGGGGGGAGCGACTCATATTTTTTCTTTAATTCAGGCTCAAAATTTAAAAGCAAAATTTTTGGTAATATTCATATCAGGTGAATCCTTAATATTTGTGCTTTTTTTTTTTTTTAATATTATGCCGGATCCACTTAGAATGGTCTTTTGTGTAGTTCTTTTTTAACACCTATCTGTGTTTTGAAAGTTTCGCTTGTATTTTATCTAATTTTTCACTAAGTATGGACTGGGTCTTCAATCAAAATAATATATATTATTTATCGTTATGGGACATATAAAAGTTATAAGGAATTGAGCGTTTAACGCTATAAATAATTTAAACGTTATTCAATTTAAGCGTTTAAATGTTATATAAATTTAAACGTTTAAAAATTTTTCCGTTTACCGTTATTGACAATTAAAATGTTATGAAAAATTTAGCGTTTTGCTTTTCAAATGTAGTAATACTATAAAATAAATCATAATTTTTGTTTCTTAATAAAATACCCATTATTTATATAAAAATTGTCTTGGTTTAAAAATTCTCGGAGGGGGGGATTGCTCTCTCCCCCTCCCTCAAATACGCCACTGGTTATGTCCATGGGCACACCCGGCACTCTCCTTGCGTAATGATTGTCATTGGTATGCATGCAAATATGTGTACGAGTCGCCTTTTTTTAAGAGCAATGATCCCTACATCGAATCCTTCCTGAAAATTCGAATGAGTTGAAAACCAAGATGTACAAAAAACTCCATTGAAAAAAATCTGGTTTAAATAATTATGTATTGTATGATCGATGTAAATGTATGTAATTTATTTTCGATACACTGTGTTAGATTAAGTGACAATCAATAAGTAATTAAAATCGTTTGTTAAAAACTGAAACGTTGAAAACCTCAAGCAGCTTATTTAGAAAATGATCATAATATCAGGGATTGGTCATTTCCATTGTCAAGGGTGGTGTCTTTAAATATACGTTTATAATATTAGTGAATCATGAAAACAGATAACAGTGAACAAGTTATACTATAATAATGCTATAGTGTAATTAATAATTTTGGTGGTTTACCATTTTCGATTTTTGGATCATTCCACGGTTGTACCTCTGCAGATCCGAAAATGATGTAGAAAATGCTGGAGAAGAACAGTATGGCAGCTCCTAAAGTGAATACGATCCTCCATTCATCCACCGCCGTCTGAAAATAAAAACACCCAATTAAAATGTCGATATATAATATACAATCATGCTGAGGGACAAATGAATTCGATTATATCTGTACAATACATAATATCTACTACTTTCAATTTTTTTTTGTAGTCCCATGAATTATAACCCGAATCGAGGTCGAGCTTTTGGTTTATCATCGGTAATATAACTGTCGTTGATTTGTGATTTTCAAGGAATATTATTCTAAGATGTGAATCCGTTTTCATTCGAATTGTCCAACATTTCCCATTATCGACGATTCACGTGTACATTGTTACTCACCTGATCGTGTACGATTAATCCGCAAACCGTCGGGGCCAGCACACCTCCCAAAGACGCCACCGCGTTTGTGAAGCCCATCAAGATCCCCGCGTAATTGGGTGCCAAATCCAAGTGATTTATGTTGAACCCGACATTTGTGCAGCAGCCAATGGCCACCACAAACACGTATAGACAAATGGCCGCATTCGCGTTCTCGCCCATGTACCCCAGGACAACGAGACCCAATGCTCCGCCGCCCATTCCTACAAGAAACCATCACGATCATATAATACGCGTCTATTATTATCTTATTTTATGTTTTTATCGATAGTTACATTTTGTGATATTACAAAACACATAATTAAGAACACATGTATTAAAATCACTAGTCTGTATACGTGTAGAATATACAACATGACAGTGTGCAATCAAAAGAAATAATTAAAATACTAAAATCATGTTGTTCATTTTTGTGTGATAAAAATTTTAAAATATCTATATGCACCCGTGTATGTCCAATATACGTATGTAGAAGCATATACAAATCAATCATAATTTTAATAATTTCGAGCGGATTATATGGTCGTCGATTTTTAAATTTTTACCAATTCCTAAATTTACAAAGGTTTTCCAAATTTTAAGAGTTTATATACTTGGCTGTAGCGTGAGTAGTTAAAAAAGTTAAAAAATTAAGGTTTACTTTAAAACTTGCATCTATAAAATTATAATTCTATATTTGTCTAATAAAATAAAAGTAACAAGTTGAACGGGACATCTAATACTGGTTACTATATAATATCTACAATATGAAGCGTATTTATATGAATTTATACATATTTAATATCAATATTACCTAAAGTATTCCAAAATTTACGTGAAAAAGTGAGAGAAGTCACATTTTTCTTGTTCATATAGTCGGCAAAATATGTAACTGGAAATTGACACAGCCACATGGCCAAGTACGGTAATGCAGATACAAATCCATCCTGAAAACGTTTTCCATATTTTACATTATTTCAGTTTATTAATAATTTTTTTTGTTTTTGTGAGCAATCATGTTTAGTCATCTGCATCTGCAGTCATCTTATCTGAATAAACGATTTTAGCAAATAATACAGTTCATATTGACGGTTCTCATAATTCTTCAACTCAGGAGCATGGCCAGAATATAAATTTGTAAAGATTTATAAATATGATTAGGATAATTGCAAAAAAATAAAATGTTATTTGCAACGAGAGAAGTTTATTAATTCAAAAATATTTGTATCAATTAAAACCTAAAAATAATTATTATAGTTAAGATTCACATTACATATAGTATTTTTATATAAAATAATTATAGCCTATAGGTCTTTCTTGAAAATGTTATTTGTCTATGTTTTAGATCAATAGTAGTGTTCACTTTATTGTAGACTCGTTATAACTATATAGGATACGCTATAATTATTTGGGTAGGTTATTAGCACGATTCATGTTGGTGATAAATAGCTCGACACCATGACCAAGAGTAGTGAACTTGGTCAGGCCTCTGGGCTGTGGTCCCAGCTGCCCCTCTTCTCGTCGAGCCTGTCTCATGGTCTAAAAAGTATTGAGTAAAAACAAAAAGATTATTGGTTCATTTAATGTATTTATTAAATTACTCAACGTTTCAAAGCATATTCGGATGCTAAAATAGGTCACTAAACGACTATAAACTTCCACTGATTGGTTGTAAGAATTTCATAGTGGAGACATGGCTTTACCTATTTTATCTAATCTTGTGGATAAAATGTACAAAACAATATTTACATATAGGTACGTTATTACAACCACTGCTACATTTAATACTATTACATCTGTAAGTACGAATTATGTAGTTTTCAAGTATTTTTAATTAATCGTAAAACAGTTTTAAATAAATAGTGTGAAATGTGATTTTGCTTACATCAAAGTAAATTATTTATGTATCGTTGAAAGCATCAATGAATTTTCTACAAGCGCAAATAGTACAAAAATTGAATAATTGCACAATACGGGGAAAATAATAATAGTAAAAAAGAAAGAAAAAAATCTAATTATTTTATCATCTTGTAATTTGCTTTAAAAACTAAATTAATTTTTTTTTTATTCATTTTATCAACAATGGTTTGTATTACCATAATAAATTTTTTTGAATTATTTCGTACTTTATCTCTTAGTTTTTTGAATTATTTCGTACTTTATCTCTTAGTTTTTTGAATTTTTTGAAATTTTAAAAGTTCAATACTTAACCGTTTAGAAATATTGACTATTATCGTTTTTATCCGTAGCCCTTAAAGTAAAACAACATTTTAAAATGTTAATACTGGACTATTGGTTTTAAAATAATTTCGAAAATACTTCATGGCGACAATGCTACTTTCAACGATTTGTCTGTTCCAAATTATTCACCAGATAATTAGTCAATTTTAAATATGCACCAATAATTAGTGTTGACGAATTAATATAAATATAATTACCATACCTATTACATTAAATTTTTCATACTTTTATCCTATTATGTAACAACAACAACATTTGCTATCCTATCATACCTAACTATTTTATTTTGTTTATAAAAATTGAAATTTTACTATGCATGTTTTGTCTTTTTTTCTTGCATATTTTGACTTTTTAGTGCATATTTTACAATTTAAAATGCATATAAATCCGATCTTTACTCCTAAGTTATGTTTATGAAGTTTAGAAACAGAGTGAAAAAAATAGTATTCCTTACCGATTTAATGTCAAACTTGAGCACGGAACTTATGAACGTTGGCATTTCACTGAGCAGCAGCCAAAACCCACAGTTGTGACCAGCATGTGATATTGTAACAGCCCATACTGGCATTGAGGTAAATATCTTTTTCCAAGGAGTTATCAAGTTCTACGATTAAAAATATTTTCATAAGACATGGTTTTAGCTTAACGAGTGCATAAAGTTATAGAATTAACAGGGCTAAAGGTGTTATTCCTTAGGACGCGACTGTAGACGCGCGACTCGAAATTTTGGTTACTTATCAATAACCTGTATAGTTACAATTAAAAATGGTTACAATTAAATATTTAAATATTATAATTATTATAATTTTTAAATATTTGACTTAATTATTAATTAAGTCTCTATTAGATTAAAGTTTACTTAATGTGAAGTTTTGAAAAATTCACATTTTTGTAGTAACGATTTTATATTCCACAATCGTCAATAGTCGATATACGAGTATAAACAATTTTTGATATTTAAAAAATAAAATAATAATATTTGTAGTAGTCAGACAGTTTTTGGAAGTATATTTTGTTGCTTATACAAAAATAATTAATTTCAAATTGATATTGACGAACAATTTCATTCGTAAATTCGTTTACCTTTTTATCCGAAACAGTTTGAGTCAACGACGACTTGATGTAGTTTTTCTCGTATTGTGTGATTAGTCTATGTGTTTCTGGACTTTCTGACCCTAGCGATAGCCATAGTACCACCCAAATAATTCCAAATACACCGCTTACATAATAAATAGACGGCCAACCTGAACGGGTACTTGCTAATATCCCTGAACCAACTAATGTAACCACTGTGCCAAACTGAAGACCTATAAGACACAGGATATTATTATTAATATATATTAAAAATACTATTATTATTATAGTTGATCATAAGAGGGACCTCGATAAACATCTTTTATTTTTTTCTTTGTTAAGTTTCGAATAAACTACAATTTTAATACATTTAAAAAAATAAATATCACAATTATTAATAGTTATTTATCATAAGTAATTTATGGGTAAAACTATATAATTTTATAATACATAATAATATACTGAATTAAAATAGGTTTTTATTAAATTGTTTTATTGGAAATTGTTTATAAACGTTAATAAAAATCAGAATTTACAAAAAAAATTTAAAAAATAGTCAGCTTTTGACATTTTGGCCAGAAGATAAGAATTTAATGGTTGAAGGGGAACTTTCTGCACAAATTACTGTTTTCCTCTATAATTAAACATTTTTGAAGGCAAAAATTACAAAGCACTATTTATAGATAGTTCATATTTAAACAATAGATGAATCTCAATTGATTTGTATAGAATTTAAAATAAATAATAATAGTATATAAATAATACACATATGTATAAATTGTATATTTGACAAACTTTCTTATGAAATAAATATCCAAGTATTTAACAATTATTGGATACCATATAAAAATATCTTTATTGCACCGATTCACACGTGTTTCAGGACTTGGCAAATCACATTTTATACTTCTGGTAGGAGTAATACAAAACAGCACAACCGTTATGGTATGTTTTTAAATTACGGCCTCTTGGTTAGGTTAAAAAAAAAAAAAATAAAAACAACATTCGTCCCCATCTTTAACGAAAGCCGATCTTGGTTCTAACTTTCATAATTATACATCTATAGTCTCACAACCCATTACATAAAAACTTTTATAGAAACAGCTGCAAATGTGCAATATCTAAAAAAAAGATTAAGCCATAGTATTCAGTACAATCGAATATACAAAAGCATTAAGTAAATTAATGTCTCTAAACAATATTTAATTTCCCTCACGTAAATCGAAAAACCGATTTTGCATTTATTTTGCAAACAAAAATATTGTTGATCAAATCATTCATTGTCATAAATAATACGAAAATAGTTTTTCACGCTCTATAAAGCCAATCAAACACATAATCATATATAGCGTTCAACCGATTCATGGCATAATTTCCACTAATTACCAATCTGTCAGTTAAAATATTATTACCAATAATATTCACGAAAGCCGTTTTCGCTAATGACGAATATATCCATACATACAGAGAACTTCCGATAACAATTATATATTTATTCCGATGTTATTGTCAAAATGCTGAATTCATTTTAATACATTTTGAACTAACCGGCTATAGGTATATATTCAATCATTCATTCCTAGCCAAATCATAAACATTCATAGTGAACTAGAAGTTTTAGCGGTACAACTGGAATGAAAGAAAAACTCATAATATGCAACATACCTATACCTCCCCAACCCGAAAAATTCAACATGTCGGACATAGAACACGTCGTTCTATAATTCCCTAAATCCTAGTAAATCATAATAGACGATTTTAACGCTCAAAGTCCGATTTAGAGTTCCAGTAAAATAGATCCCAAAGTTAAAGAAATTGAAAAACTAATGGAAAAAAGGAATGGAAATGAAAATGGAAAATGACACCATAATACTTAAAAACTCACCTTACTTTCTGTACTCCCTCATTTGCACATAGAATTTAATGGAAAGTACTACCCGATACATTCAGTAGTAATCATATACCTACTAAAATTAATTTCATTCTAAGAAAGTGACACAAATAAAAACAAAGATGGAACTTAAAAAATCTTTACTGATCACTTTTTAATGAAATGGTAGATGACTATTATTAAATTATCCAACTAAATATCAATGAGGAAGTCGAATCATTCACAACGATAAAAACTCTAATAGCAGAAAAAACTAACTAAAAGCCACACAAGCAATAAGTTTAATCTTGGTGGAATGACCAGGTAAAATTAGCTATAAAAAGTAAAAAAGATGTATTGAACGCATACAAAAAAATAAATCTCAAGAAAACTATTCAAATTAAAAAATTAAGAGCCAAATCTAAGTTTCTTATTAAAATGAATCGATGATAAAATGTACTAATACAATAAACAGTAAGGAGAACCCGTTCTTAATCTGAAACAAAATGAAATCACTAAAAGGACTAAATCTAGATCAGGAAATGCATTCGAATCAGACGAGGTAGCTCATAAATTCGATACCTTCATGGATAACTTAAGCAAAAACATTTACAAGTAAAAATGATTAGACGATACAACAACAATAGAAAACATACCCATAATATCTATCATATCATAATATCCATCAATCTAATCTGCCCTCATCATTTTAAATGATCCAATACCCTTAAAAAAAATGAAAACAGCTCTTAGTAGACGTAAAAATAAAATACCCCGGTCCCGACGCATACATAGGCTATCCATGGATACCCGGACACAGTAGAATATATTATAACGAAATAACAGATCAAGAAGCATCTAGAGCAGCCCTCTCTACTGACACCCCGACTTTAAACCCAATCACCTGCGCTAGTATAAAGAAAAATATCCAGAAGTTTCTACACCTCAAATGGGTGTCACTGGATGGGACAAAACACCAAATAAAATACAATAAAAAACAATATCAACATATAACGAAACCCTGGCTATAACAGAAAAGATAACATTATTATAAAATGTTAACTAATAACTAATGGCTTAGTAGCCGATGTAATTAAGATCAATAAAAAAAAATATCAATACGTTTTTAGATAGAATAAGATAGATTTATTTATTTATTAAAATAATTATTTTTATTTACAACATTTCAGAAATATTATAATGAACCACGTTATTTTAATATTTTATATAATTTATTACTTTAAAATTTTACATATTCGAGGTAAATCATCAAAAGACTTAGAGTGACCTTCAAATTTGTTTTATAACGATGTGACTAAATACTAAATTGTAATTAACATATATTTACATATTTAAGTTATTCTATTAAAGTAATCCCTCGTTATCCGCATTTTTTTTTCCGCGGTTGGGTCCACGATAACATATTATTAATGTGATTGCGATTGCGATAACGTTTTACCGTTATTACACGAACACTGTAGAAATTTATTTTTGACAATAATTGTAGATGATAATTGATGTTATATCACTATAGGTATAACACATATACATTATACATACTTATACTTATTGCAGATAAACCACAAAAAGTTACCTACACATGCACGATTAATAATCGTCAATTGCTCATTTGTAAGGTGATATTTGTGCGTGACGCATGTACAGCAGTGTTTAATAAATTTAGTAGTGAAAATATTTTTAAATGGCTTCTCAATGTAAAAGGTCAATAAAAGGAGAAGAAATGTTTTTTTATTAATCGTTCAAAAAATTGAAATTTTGGACAAATTAAAAAATGGTGATACTGAACGCCACTTGCTAGAACGTACAATATAAATGAGTCTAGTGTTTGAGAAATACGTAAAAATGAAGAAACAATACGATGGATAGTAAATAAATTAGTTGTAGGAATTAAAAAAAAATTAAACATAACTTCATTTTTTACATTGATTTATGGTTTCGTTATCCGCGGATTCGTTATCCGTGCAGGTTTGTTGGAACGTAACCTTCGCGGATAACGAGGGATTACTGTATAATAATATACATACATACTCTTTTCCAGTAAATATATTTTTATAATATTTAACAGCGACATACTTAGAAATTTTTTTGTTACGATTAAAAATGTTCTCGCTCCACTCTAAATTATAATTATTTGTGAACATTACGGAGTATGAACTTAAAATAAATATACAAGCAAACTATATTTTTCATTTTATAAAAATGTACCTATATTATTGCAAATCGGTTAAAATCCTAAACAGCCAAAATCGAAAAAATAAGTTCAATACTTAAATATAATAACCCACTCAACTCATGGGTAAATACCTCACTGATATTTATTAATACAATTGTAATAATAAATGCTATTAAAATATTAATATTAAACCATAAGTTTTAATCAAAGGTATTATTTCATAATCACATATAAAATCTCATTGGATTAAAATTATTTTTACTTAATGATACTTATATTTTAATGCATATTTTATAGGTATAGATATAATATTTTTCAAGGGCTGTATATAATTCAACAATATGTGTATCAAGAATACAAGATGTTAAATGGATTAAAATAATGTGTTGTGATACTAAAATTATTATCATCCTAAAGCAGGTTAACATATAATTAATTAAATTCTATATAAACTACTTAAAAGAGGATTATATAAAATAGCGTTGATTGGAATAAATAATAATTTACAGTACTATGTACCTGTTGCCCATAGTGCAGCTGGTATTTATTGAATTTGTATCATTTAATGTTTTAACGAAATGTACAGATTATTCAAGACAAATATATTTTTACACAAGAATATATAAAAAAAAATAAATAAAAATTAAAAATGAATACATGTTTAATATTCGTAAATTAATAAATAAATAAATAAATAAAAGCTTAGCACCTGGATCAGTGGCGCATTTTCGGGGTGGGGGAGGGCTTCCAGGTTTCAACCTTCCCCCCAGAAGAAAAAAAGGGTTCAAAAGTTATAAATTACTTTCTACAAACGTACAGAGAAAAAAACAATAATTAATGTTATGTGGTTGTAAATAAGTCTTCTTTTGTATTTATAACAATAATAGAATAATATTAATCGTTTATGCTAGCTTATACATTCATAAATTGTTACCTATTATTCAATGTATAAAATTTTTTTAAATTAACTTCTCGGTTAATCGCATTAAATAGTGCACCGCACAAAAAATTTATCAATGGTATAATGTTAGTTACAAATTTGCGTCTTTGAGTATGTATATAATTTAATTTTGAGGATACATGTATCATTATCATCATCGAGAATAATTAGAATAATTGCCAAAAAAACAGTTTTCAAATAGATTTTTACTTCTTAAGAGGACTCGTGCGAAAGTTTTCGAAAGATGGTTACCTACCTCCTAATACAAATCCCACGAGACGACCGCGTTCATTCGGTGGTGCCCACTTGGCGCTAATACCGTGTATCATTGGCATAGTAAACGCCTGTAAATATATAATATACATAAATATAATAAACAGTATAGATTAAATAATGTGTACGTTTAGGTTATAGAGTTATAGTAATTATTAGGGCTAGGATAGTATAGAATTTTGTTTTTTTTTTTTAAGATTTACAGGACATAGCTTTTCAAGTACAAAATGTGATTTGGTCATAAACGAGTCCAAATATATAGTTTTTATTTTGCTTTTTTTTTGCATTTTTTGCACTTTTATGGATTTAGTGTCATTTTGTACAATTTTTAGGTCATTTTTTAATTTTACGAGCATTTTTTATACTTTTTTGAAATCTAGGTAATATTATTATACATTTTCATTTACACTAGATGTTCTCGATAAAAGTTTTGAATTTGTTACAAAAATAATATCATGAATATGATAATAATAATAATATGATATAATAATAATAATTTTAATTATAGAGATAGTGTGTTAATACTCGCTATCGATAATAAAACCACTTATATATTACAACATTAAACTTCGATACCACGAGTTATCTTAATCGTTAAATTAGATGACAGTGGTGTGAAGTGTACCTACGTATAGTTTTGTTAAATACCTATTTAGTTAGTGTCTTTTGGGATTGCGTATTGTGCTTGTACCGAAATATACCGAAACAAAAATCATCGCAATCGAGTCGTATGTGGCTTTATGTTTCGGGATTTGAAGCCAAAGTATTTTCTACCGATGGTTTGGTGTTATATTGTAAATTCTATGAAGTTAAAGTTGCAGCAGATAAAAAATATACAATTCAGCAACATATTTCACACGATAAACATTTACGTATTAGTCAAAAACGAAACGAGCAAACGACTTCTTTAACACAAACGTAATTTTCAAAATAAAAAAAATATACGTATATATTTTTTAATATATAGTATTTTTTGTTGTTTAATTCAGAAAATTTGGCCATTGCATGATAAGTCCAAACTTTAAACTTTAGTATTCATACCAAGAAAATCCTAAATTAACATTATTTTTTTTTGTTGCTATTTTTTAATAATTTTAATAATGTTGAAATATTAATTAATAAATAATAATTAATAATTGTAATGCATTTTTATAATATTTTAAAATCATTTTTTACCTTTTGGGCATTTTTTAAAGTCATTTTTAAGTTATTTTAATGTAATTTTTTTGGGTCATTTTTAGGTTATTTTAATGTAATTTTTTTTAGGTTTTTTGGGTCATTAAAATCCTAGCTCTAGTAATCAATCTATATAGTTTAGATATTAGTATAGTATATACAAGATATAGAGGTTTCGTGGATCACGAGTCTTGTTTTTTTTATTTTTTTTTATATACACTGTGTATGTATACTATTCATAAAATTAGTTTATCCGTAAAAATTACCACGAATTTTAAATAACATATTCTGTTATTTGATATCCATCTCAGTGTATTATATCTATTATATAATAAAATAATAAAAAATATCCTAGGTCGAATTCAGATTTTTTTATAATAATTAATCAGAACAGTATTTAATATTTATAATTACTTATACAATTTTATATTTTAGAATAATTACGTAAATAATTGATTATCGTACTTGAGTGATTCCCTGTAAAAACCTTATAAGCACAAGCACCGGCCAATCGAAAGCCACCACTAATGCCGGGGTGATTAGACTGAGAGCTACGGTCAATGTCATGCTCATGGCCAATAGCATTTGATTATTGTATCGACGACCAATCATGGCAGCGGGCAGGTTCATGATGAGGTAGCCCCAAAAGAATGCGCTCAGGATCAAACTTTTCGTGTATTGTGTCCAATTGAACACCTATTTTAGTCCACGTTTGCACATAAAACATAATAAAAACGAATAACAATTAAACTGAATTCAACAAAAGAGTAGAACGATAAATATAAGGCCAACCATAACAATGTAAATATAGATTATGTCAAATCTTAACACAATTTACTATTACTAACAGGAATGTGATAGTGCAATTCGACTAAGAAGTCTGAAGAGTTTTTGTCCGGTGTCATAGCCACGATTGCAACGGATATGCTCACCCGTAGCAGGTAAGCTGCGAAAAGGCATAGGAATAACAGAAAACTCTGCAAGTACCGAACGCCCTGAATTTTTCCTCCTAAAATGCAATAATGATAATGATAACAATATTATTAGAAATAATTTATAATAATTAATAATAATATTAAAATCTTATGATTGAAATCAAAACTCATGTACCTATAGAATTCATAGCTTTAGCTACAATAATTATATATTGATACTCTTTAAGTACAACTATTGCATAGATTTAGATATGGAGGGGGTGATTATTACATTCAGATCTTTAATATATTCCATATATATGACCACAAAGGTAAATTACCATACAAAGATACGACCAATAAGCTATTAGGTGTGTACATTATTTTAACGTATGACGTAATTTTATACAACCAAAAATATTACTTTACAATATATACTATACAAATACGACTTAATATATTACATTTAATAACAATTATAATAAATGTTAAAATAAAAATTATACAGCAAATAATTGCTCAATAATTAGTAATTTGATTATAATTTTTTGACCTACTAAAAGTGATCAAGTTATTATTGTTTTAAGACACACCCGTATATTTATCGGATTTTCAATTAAATTTCCATTTTGACATTAAAAGACAATAATAGTAATAATAACAACAATAACCATTCGCTAAATGATTACAAATATTTTTTGTATCTATAATGTAACAGTACGGTAAATTTCGAGGGGAAAATGGATGAGTTATTAAGTAAACAAGTTGTTTATCAGAAGTAGTGGATAATTAAGTTTTTATTCTAAACTATGCATACGGGTATTTTTATAATCAATTCAATGACAATATTTATATTTATTAAAAATACGAATAACAAAAAATTTACTATTATTATATATTATCTTATATGATTGTGATTTAATTTTTTTTTTGTCCCAAGTAAATCATCATAAACCTAGTATTTGATGTTACAAAGAACCAAATCTAAAATCAATCATTATGGATTATTTAATACAATTTATCTCATATTTTTCATACTTAATCAATTGATATGAATGCGCATTGTGTTAGAAGTAATAACATTTTAGTTTAGGTTTGTTTAATAAAATACTATTTGGCCACGAGGGTTTATTGTGTGGTTGCATATATTATAATAACAATATCTGACTGATTTGTTTTGCTTAACTTTGTTTTATACGTTATTTTTAGAGTTATCAGTTTAACACCTCTTTTTTTTTTATTTAGAATTTAAATAACAATAATGAAATGCGACTTAATTAAAAACATTGTTAAATATTTATTTTATTAATCGGAAGTATACGATAAAAATGTGGTAAGCTAAAAAATAACTGTTTAACACATTTTATTAGTAAAAAGTATGTGCACTTATTACATTTTTATAACAATTATGTTTAACTTATTAAATTTTCATTCTGGTATTTTCGCTCAACCGAAAATCTTAACTGAACAATATAATAAAATATACCATAAACATAAATATAAATCACATCAATCACAAAAATTTTGATACTGATACCGGTTTTTGTATTTAATTCAAGTCAATTTATAAGAATTTATTTTGAAATGTAAATTGTTTTTATAGTAAGTAACAGTAAACACCTTACATTTAATTATATTTTATATTTTCTACATTGTAAAAAAAATTCGTACTTGCAGTAATATAATTTCCGTTTAAATTAAATTTTTATTTTCCGCATGTAGATATGTAACCCTAAAGTCAAAGAAACTAAGTACAAATCAAATTCACATTTCGTTTTATCATCACTATTTTATATAGGCAAAATCACAATGTTTCGGTGTAGAAAATTTTGTCACACCAATATCTACATATAATATCTCTAATATGAGTACATCGTATATCCCTTTAAATATATTGGTATTTTTTATGTCACAGAATTGTTTTAAATATTCTCCCAAGTGTCACCACGTCGCAAATTTTCATTTTTGGTCACAGAAATGGAGGTAAGGCATATATTGTATTTCAATTTTACGCGTTTTCGGCGAGATTTTAGACGAACATTGCAAATTTGATCTAGAACTAACATGATCTGATCAAGTAAATGGTAAATGCAAATCTAAAATTTTCTACAATTTTGTCAAGTCACAGCTTTTCTCCTACTTTACAAATACTATTAGCGAGAGGTATATACGCGGGAGAATTTTCTAAATTACTCATATAAATTGGCAGCGGAACTTAAAATTAAAAGGATAGATATATTACAATTATAAAATTAGTTGTATCGACGAATCATACAAATCATACACAATGCGAATTTAAATACAAAAAAAATTAAAAATCAAAGTAGCGTACGGTTAGGCGAACGTCCCATTTTAGCAATGAAAAATAATTGATCTGATACCATATACCTAGTACGCTTCTATATAAAATATCATTAAAGGTTGGTTAGCTTTCAATTATATAATTAAGACATTAGAATTCACTAAAGTTATGCAATGGCTTATCTTACAAAAAATGAAATTGAAGGATATTTTGTCAGAATGTGCTATAAAAGGAAAAATATTTTTACCAAAAATACCCAATTACATATATATAAATTCATAATGAAAATGGAACTATCCATTATCCATCATTATTTATTTTTAATTAATAAAAATTTAATTAATATTCATAAATGGATATATAATAATTTTATCATTTATTATGACAGATCAAGCCAATGCTCCAACTCATGAGTTTATAAATATTCAATCCTGTTCATTAACTACAGTTAATGAACAGGATTGAATGTTTATATACACTTATTTATTTTTGTTAAATACAAAACTAGTTCATACCTTTTTTATGTTGTCGATACTCAGAGCCGTGTCAAACATTGCAGTACCCCAGGGAAAAATTTTTCTTCGGGGCCATTGGTAGCATATTAAGTGCAGATAAGGGCGCTCACTTTCTTTTACAAAACTACGGCGCCCGGGGGCAATTGCCCCTTTGACCCCCCCCCCCCTCACACGATCCTGTCGATGCATTATTGTTTATTATGTATTTTTATTCTCGTTTCAAATACATATCGAATAGTTTTTTTTATATTCATATACTAAGCAGTTACATCATACAATGATGTTGTCATCATATAATATTCTAAAAACACAAAATATTAATGATTATACTCAGGGGTATGTTTACATGTTTCCCGTGTATCTATATGCTTATGGAAAATTGCCGCTCTAAATAACTAAAATAATAGTTACAATATATTACATTAACTGAGTTATCATTTAATTACCTACTATAAAATACATGTTAATTAGATAAGTATGTAATTTCTTAAGATTTAAAACACTTTTATTAATAATTAATAACAAAATAAATTCTTCAAATTTGTCATTATAGCACGTGCCTATAGTGTGCCTGCATACGAGTATAAATACGCCACTGATTATACTGTTAACTCATAACAATTATTTGAATTCTATCAATTGATTTCAACCTAGGTATATGAAAACAATTTTCTTTTGGATTTTAATCTTTAACTATTGGCTATTCGTTTTAACACAAGTTTAAACATGATACTATTTCATGTTGACACTAATACCGATAGTATACAATTATCCAATTACTAAGCGTTTAAACATACGGAAAAAATTAGGCTCAGTGGTATTAGTAATGTCGTAATTTAAATAGGAATATTTGGATAATATTTGAATAATAGGAGTAATATTTGTTTTTTGTGATCACCAGTCAGAAATGCACAAGTACATATTTCGAAGCTAACATTAAAATAAAAATTAAGCCGAAGAATGCAGTAAAATTGTTTTACAAAGTATTACAAGGCAAAATTTAAGGCAGTAATTATTATAAAATAACTCATTGTAATACTGTTAATGAACAAGAAAAATTAAGTTATCAGAATATTATTTTTAAATTATTGATTACGAATTGACAAATTGCGGTAAAAAAACATGTGCTAATTTGCAAACGTTGAACACTTTTGACGGGTAAATTTTAATGTTGTTTTTTCACTATAGGTATCTAAGTACAGTTTCAGCAAAACAAACAACAGTTATCATCGGTTGCACCCGTTAAAAGTATAATAATTTATTATACTAATAAACATGCAAAATTAAAAAATACAGAAAAAGTCAAATCTGTATCATCCAGTATATTCATTACTCTAAAACATTTGGTCGACAATTATTCAATACACAGTACAGATGGTAAAACATGATTCATATTCGCCACCAATTTGATTAATTCAGTATAATTATAAAATTATAATTTTAAGATTTCATCGTTTTTACACGATAAAACAAGGTTACACACAACCATTGATATAATAGTCTTATTAAAATAAATTAATAGCAACTACATGATTCTAACATTTTGTAAATCGTATTTAATTTTTAATAATATGATTCTATACGATTTTGAATGCAGCATTGCCATTTATCATTATATTTTTATATAATTTGTAGGGCATAATTTTATATATGAAGCGCATAGAGCCAAAACAGCCTGACGCACAAAAGTATGATTGCGCAGAACGGACATTTAAAGTTTTGACTATTTTTAAAATTTTATTTTTTATTTTTATTAAATCCACTCCAAGGAAAATAACAATAACTTATTGATATGTATAAATACTTGCCTTTTAAACCATCAATAAAGTACTAGTCAATTTAAAGTTGGTGAAGTTTTAATGTGGGTTAAGCCAACTTATTGGAAATTTGTTATTCACTTTAATTCACACAACATGAAATCACTATGTAAATAATTATTAGTATTAGTTTATTTGTAATTTTTTTTAAATAAAATTGTAGTTAATTTTTAGTATAGAATGATTATTAACAGTGAGATTGTTACTAAACTTAATAAAATAAATAAAAAATAACATTATAATAACATAATAGTAGTTTTCAGTATAGGATGATTATTAATATTGTTAATAAACTTTACTAAGTATTAAAAAACAAAAACAAAATCAACTTTTAATAGTGTATAATAATAGTTCTGTTTATAATATTTTACTTTTAATAAATTTGATTAACATGAAAATTTGATATTTAAACATTTATAATATTATAATTACATAATACAGTTTTCAGTATTGAATAATATTAATAAACAATATGATTGTTACTAAACCTAACAAAATAAAAATATAAAAATAACTTTTATCTGTATATCTTACTAAAATTTAGATTAAATCTTCCTCACTTTCATCAAAATCCACTGCCATAGGGGTTGGGCTTTTATGGTTCTGAAATTATACTTCATAATCACTCTGATAATCACAGAGTCAAAAACTATTACATGCTGCTATTTGGCGAATCATTTTTTTTTTTTTTGTGGAATAAGCCATAGTGGATTACAAATATTATATCAATCCGAAACGTTTTACCACATAAAACAGAATTTTATTTTTGTGGGTTAGACTGTTTTGGCTTCATGCGGCTCATTTAGCTGAATTAATCAAAAATAAATCTAGTAAATAATTAGTAACTGGGAATATATATATATATATATATATATATATAAAATGAAATGATTAGGTACCTATATATTTATATATTATAGTTTTTGACACGCATAAATAACTAATTACTAATAATAAAATAATAATTACACTTTAGATTATACAGCGTGTGTAAATATTGTTAAACTATATTTTACAAACAAAAGTACAATGGTCAATGATTAATGAGTACACGAAATAGTTTTGATTAAAGTAATATTTCAAGTTAAATGAATTAAATAAATAAATAAGAACTTTGCCCGTGTAAAGTCTTAAATTGTATAAAATCAATTTAAAATGTTAGTTGCAGAATCGATCATTATTATCATAGTAGTATTATCACTTACAAGAATTATTACGGAAATAGCGAATTGGCGGTGATTGCAATTCATAACTAACTAATACACATAAAATAACGAAGTATACAAGAGCCATAATAAAATTTAAAAATTTCTAAATCACCACATATGTTCTATAATTGTACTGATAAACATATTATGTATAATACTAAGTAGCAGAAGACAATATAATGCTATTAAAATTAGAGATCAATATAATCATCCTAAGGACGAAATTATGTGAAAGATATAAAGCATATCTTTGCAAATCTGGATTATACCTAATGTCAATAATTTTGTAATAACAGTTGTAAATAGAAAAAATTATTCTTTCTGTGAAAACCAAAAATTGTACGAAGGTACCTACAGGAAAACCCACCATCACGTCCTAAAATTATACTATAAAGGCGGCCACACACTACGGTTTTATTTGTCCGTGTACGGTGTACGGTGTAGTTCGAACAACGTACACCGATAGTGTGTGGACAATAAAACGGACGAAAAACACCGTACACGGAATAAAAACTGAGGAGTTTGATTTTTGTCCGTGTTCGGTGTTCGAAATGAAGAAAACTGAAGGTGTGTGTTCATATCCTCTGTACGAACTAAAACCGTCGTATTATATTAATAAAATAACGAAACACCAAACGACGGGAGCGCACAACACGAGTGCCGTATCAATATACGTATCAAAGATACAGAAATTATATTAATTAATGGTATAATAAAAAATAAGTCCATTTTCTCTTTTGTTTTTACCTTTAATTTTAAGAACTAATGCCACGGCAGTAGCTGCTAAAACTAAATTTACAGTGTGCGAAACAGGAGCCATAATATACGATTAAATAGACAAATATGTCGACAACGTAAAAAAACTAAATCTAAACTAATAAAAATTATGTAGTGTGTGGGGTCGACTTCGGTTTTCGGTATTTATTTTTAAAATATGGTCCGTGTTGTTCGAACACCGTACAACTATACAAAATGGATAGTGTGTGTCGTTCATCGGTGTACGAACTAAAAATGTGCCATCTACACCGTACACTGTACACGGACAAATAAAACCGTAGTGTGTGGCCGCCTTAAAACGATAATAATTTTTCCATCTTGAACGTTTATTTTTCCTTTAAAGCTTCTTGTCCTACTTTTCTTTAATCCTTTAATATTGCTTACAAATATTCCGACAAAAGTACATAAAAATCATAGATTCAGCCGATGCAGATAAAAATAATGGAAGGGTGAAACGTTCGCGATTTTATTATAAAAATGAGATGGAACAAGAATTTTTAGGTTACCGATAATCAGGTGCGCTTGATCGGGGTACGACGTATGCCCCTATGCAGTCGACACTTAATATTCGTACCCATATCGGGTTTACGACTCATTCAGCTGCAGACGTTTTGAAATCTAGATTCCATACGGTACAAATGATCGATGAGTAGAACACTACACGAACAACGGAGTGAAAATTACTACTGCCTACGGAGAGACATGCATTCGAAAGCCACGGTTAATTGGTCAATTGACACGAAAACTGCACAAGATAACCAAACGCAAAATGGGGTAAACCGCCAAGGACGTTGCTGACTCGAACTTCAGCTTACACTGGCGTTCCCATCACGAATTCTTATACTCACTGTAACGCGCACCCGGTTCAATTCATACGAGTTACGGCAACGGGCACTTACGTTCGGCGAACGCCTCGTTCAGAAGATGCGTCTTGGATTGCATGACGACGGGCCGGGGTGAGCTTGCGCTCGCGGGAAAAACGATCGGCGGACGTACGCGCGGCGTCTATAATGGTATCTTCACGCTAATAGATGTCGAAATAACACGCGGAACGAACGAGCGACTGTTACCGGAGATCGTGAAATGAAAGAGCGACCATACACGGTAACGTACCCGTACGAACTAAGTTTTAACGTTCCATATGTTGCGCGTTATCATCGTAGTCACTATTATCGTTATGACTTGAAAAACGTACGGTAGTGGTGGTGTACGGTGCGCACCCGCGCCACAACCTCGTCATCATCGCAGCTGTTGGTCCGAAGCTCACGCGCGCGAACGTTCTGTCGCGCCTTCTCGCGACTTCCCGTCGACTTTGATCCGCGCGGTGTGTTCAACGCAATTGTTATACACTCGTAAAACCATAGGCAGTCGAACGTCTGTTTCAATGAACTTGAAGGATTTTTCAACAGATAAAATCGAATAGTAATGCAATTATTTTCGTTTAAAAAACTGGTTTTAATCGCACGAAATACGTATAAAATAATAATAATATATTAGTTTCGTTAAGTAAAGGTTGTGACACAAGTGCGGTGTGCATGCGACGTGCGTGTGGAACAACTATGAGATAACGCACAAAACACCATAATTACTTTGTTACTATACTACGTACGCAGTACGCAGCATGGAGAGCGACACAACATTAACTTTGAGTACTTTGTGTTTATATTGGGGTATAATATTTTTGAATTCATGGGCTACTGGACCATGGCAGTACATTATTTCCGTTGCCATAGTTTTTTAGTTGAACATTAGTATTTACAACATAATTTTAAATCAATTTTTGTGTAATTCTACTCTTGAATTATCCTTAAAACATGTTTTAATAGTTATTTGAACAAAACTACAGGCAGTGCGAATGGAATAAAAACAAAAAGCTCATATGTTTATAAACGAAAAAACTGTCTACACATTTTGTAACATATATTTTTTTTTTCAATACCATCTTCATTCTTCAATATTGTTTCTACATTATAACATGTAGATAATAGCTACTATAAATTATAACTGTTAATTGATTAGATAACATTGTAAAACCAAATTGTATTGAAATGTAAATGTATACGTATATATATATTGCCAACCATAATAATTATCAAAGTATTAGACCTATACTATTTATACATTTTCAAGGTAATTAATAATAAGACCACCTAGAGTGGTTTTAGAAAGTTCTGAGGGACTCAGTTTTTATCATCAGCATTAGTTAGTGTTCTTTTTAAGTTGGACGTATTTCCAATAAAATATAATTTTTTACCTATTTACTCGCGTAGGTAAAAAAAAAATTGGAATTAAACAAAAACAATACAGTTTAAAATGATATACTGTTTAAACATTAAGATGTTTGGGGCTCATATATTCTAAATGCACCACTGATTCTAATGTAGAATTATAGAAATAATTCTATTAATTTATAATATACTGTTATATAATACATATTAAATTTGGAAGAAAAAAAAAAGATAACGATTATTTTTGTTCCCCCCCCCCCCCCAAGAGAAAGATTGAATGTACGCCACTGATGTCTATTTTATTTTTTTATTACAATATTATTTAAATTAAAAAGAAAAAACAAGTATATTTTAATATATTTTTTTTTAAGTTAAAATTTTATTTTGCGAGCTTTGAGCACAGCGAACTCAGTAATGACATCGTCAAAATTGATTGTCGAAGACAATCCATTCATTTCTAGGTAATCATTGGTTAATCAGCATTTTGAACTATCAAAAGAATCAAATATATATATATATATATATATATATATATATATATAATATTATTTAATGTAAAATAAGTATTTCTACTAAAATTTCAAAAATAACAAATAAATTTCAATGGGCCCGTAGGCCCTTAAAATAGCCGGGCCCCTGTACTCAAGGTCCATCAGCTCTCCCCCCCCGTGTGGGGGCCCTGGTACTAATAGTAGGTATATTTTTATTAATCTTTACTTTATATATTTTAGTGTTATGATAACATGAAATCAATTTATTAATATATAAATAATTAGTATTATAATACTTATTTAACTAAGTTCTTGGTATACTACATGCTTAATTAAAAAAAAAAAAAATAATAAAAAAATCTTTATGAAAAAAATAATAATATAAAATAACCTGATACATTAATATTAATTTAAATGGTTATAAGTAAGTTCCAGATTTCTATATATAAATATTTTTGAGTATGCACATATTTATAAACACAAAAATAAAAAAAATTGCAAGTTATTTTTTATTTTCCATTAAAAAAAAATAAATATCTTAAAAATAATTTAATTACACAGTGTATAATATTAAATAAAAATAAAATATAGTATTAATTTTGAAATGAGTACCAGCACAAAATAAAAATATTTGATATAAAATGTTCAAAACAGGAACTTCTGAGAATATGTCACATTACATTGATTTCAACTTTAAAATGTAAACAACTTATTTATTCGTCGCAAAACATTATACGTGCGTCTTTAAATAAAAGTTGTAAGATTTTGAATTGTTGGATTGTTTGGTTCACTACCTAAGCGAACATATAGAAAAATCAATAAATTAAAATGTTGTGAATTAGAACAAAATTTAAAAAAAACATTAATATTTATAAAAATGTAACTTGTATACAAATATATAGAAATATGGAATTTATGTTTTACTGTCATTTTTCCTAAAATTTACAAAAATAACCACAAGAAATTACGCATTATATTATATACGTCGACATTTGTAAAAAAAATATTGTAGTTAGTGTATGCTTGATACTAGAAGAGCTGCTGTCTTTTCTAGGTCCATTTTAGTCGCCTCATACGATAGCCATGGACAACCGAGAGGGTATTCCGATCCCCAACCCCAGGGATTATACTTAAGAATCGTATATACCAATAATAACATACAAGTAGAATAGAATTTATAGACGAAATGAATAATAATACAAATCATAATATAGCTAAGCATGTTTATTACATTACTCGTAAAATGCCGAGGACTTATTGGAGAACAAATAAAATCAGAAAGTCTTAAAAATTTTTTGGTCCGACTAAATTTATTAAAATTTCAGCGTCATTGACTAAAGCGAAAAAAACTGTTTTTACAATTACGAATATTTTCACAAAGCATTCACGTTTTATCACGGTAGTCCAGTAGATCATTGTTATATTTAAAAAAGGCGCGAATGCGATGGCGTCAGTGACGTCAGTCGACGACCACCGAACGGTCTTCTTATTGGGTCACACTGTGTCCGTTACGCTTTTCCACGGTTGTTGATAACAGTTGCGTTACGCGTTTGATAAGACATGTTCATTTGTTTTTGTTTATGCGCAAACAACGAGTAGACAACAATTTTACATTACGCTTTTTTTTTTTCTTTATTTTCTCAGCTCGCCAATAAATAATTAGTATTTTCTGCCATCGACACACGCGGACGCATTTTTCTCGACGATTTGTCACGCAGAAGTTATGAAGTGATCCCATTTAATTATGGCGAATCTCGATGAAGATCTGTCGCGTCTTTCCATAGGTACGTAGAAAACTGGCGGCGCATTTGCCTTGCAAAAAACTCATCTATTGGCGTGCAGACAAATCTACGTCGTATGCCGTCGCCGTCTTAGGAAACTGTCGGTCACGCAAAGTCGGCTTTTACTTTAAGCAAACCGCGTGCCGTCTCTCCACCAAGACTGTCTGTTACGTGTTTGTATTATTTGCTCTCTGGTTTTTTGAATGCAACCGGGGAAAAAAACATTATTTTGCTCACTGTCAACCGGAATAATTGCAGTTCAACTCGTGTCATGTGTCTTATTAGCCGATTGTTTTTCGTTTTTTATTTTTAAATTTTTTTTACTCAAATTGAACTTTAATATTTGTTCTTCCAAACTTTACGATGAGTCATACTTATTTTCAAAACTTAGGTTCATGAGTTTTCTTTAATTAATCAACAATAGTTTTCAATTTAAATTTAAACTACTAACTGTTGATTTGGTTGGGTAAGAGTTTTTTTAACATTACCCGATAATAAGTTAAACTAAATTTAGTTACTTTGAATTTTATTTAAAATTTGGCTTTTTCAATTGTTCAAACTAGTTAAATCTATGTTGTAGATTATAATAGAACATATCTTGGTTCAGTACTATGTTGACTTTACAATTAAATTAGATCAAATATTAATATAATTCAATTTTTAATAATTAAAAAGATAATAAATGTTTGTGAATGGGTTTTGATTGTTTAATTTGAATTATTATACTATAAATTATTTTTATTATGTATAATATAATTTAATTTTAATACTTATTAGATCATAAAATTTTTTACAATTTTATAAAATATTCTTTAATTTTAATTTTTCTACCAAATTTGATGATCACATATGTATAAATATTGATTTATTAAAATTAATTTTCAATGTTTAGTAGATATGTTTTTTTTTTATTATTATTTAGAATTATTATAAATAAATTACAACAAAAGATAAAATAAAATGTCTACAATATAGTTGTTATTTGTAAATGTTATCATTTATTATATAATATTATATAATCAATGATATTACTAATTGTTTTTATGTTCAAATTTGTATAACTGATTTTTTATTTTTAACAAAAAAGATATAATTTAATGTTAAACACTGACAATCAAATTATATTTGGTTCGTTCCTGATTTTGTTAAGATCTGTTGCCTGGTACTATCAATTATAATTAATTTGACTATAGTTTCTTAAAATGTATTATGCATTCTCTTTTATTTTAGATATAATGATTTCTGTAAATTGATTATCGAGTGATAATTATTTGTATTGTAACTTTGCCAAATTTTTGATTAATTATTGCTTATAATTTCTGTACTCAAATATTATCTAAAACAATTTTTTAATATTTCAATGTTACAACAAAATATATTTGATTGCATTTATTTGTTTTGAGGTAGCTTATAATAAGTGGATGCATGTTTTTCTATTGAATATTAATCTTGATTTATTTATTTATTTTTTTTTTTTTAGTTTACCTTTGTTTGCTTATTATTATTTTCATCTTGCAGTAATTATTAAATATAATATCATTTTGTATATTTTTTTACTAAAATATTTTTTTTAATTTGTTATTAAGACTAATTTATAGATAATTGTTATAATATAATAAACTTCCTATTTTATAATTTCTGTTTAAAATTATTATATAAAACTTAAATGAACAGTTATATCATAAATTTTAATTAAAATTAAAAACTACTAAAAAAATCACTTTTCTTTAATATTGAAAATATCTATGTTAGTAACTCAGAACATTTTAAAATAAGTATTTATATTATAAGTATTATAATTAAATCTAATTATTCAGTATTTAATTGAATGTTTATATTCTTATGAGATTGAAAATTTTTCTTATATTTTTATAGTTACATGTAATTTAATATTTTATTTAGGTTATCTAAAAGAATTTGTACTGTCATATTAAAATTCATATTTGTTCTTATAAATGAAACTATATTTTTCAATTTTATTATGTTAATCTAGGTGATGATTCAAATAATAAATTTGGAAGGAAAGACAAGTTTCAAAGGGAATTAGAAATCTATCGGCCTGGCAGTGGACCCTTAAGACGAAGTGGTAGTTCTCGTCAAGATGGTGATGATGATGAAAAGCGGTCCGTATTTACTGGATACAGTCGTGAACTTGATTCATCAAAAAAGAGTGATTTTATACCTAATAAACATTTTGAAAATCCAAGTAGGAAAAAAGAAAATTTTCCAAGAGGACAATCTAAGGTAAATGGTTTTGCTGCTGATAACTATAGTACTTTCAATCTAAGACGTAAACAGCAAAAGAAAACGCAAACATTTTATGAGCCACCAAATGAATGGAGTTGTGATAAACGATCAGATCGACCTAGAGTGAATTTTGTTAATCCTGATGACTCTAAGGATGATGATGATGACAATTGGAGAGCACATAAAGCACCAAAAACTGTGAATGTTAAAACAGCAAAAAGAATTGAAGAAAAACCTGTTCCAGAAAAAATTATAACACCTGTTGAGAGTACATCACTTTTAAAAAATATTCCAGAAAAAGTACCGGGTCATGGTAGTCGAAAACGCGAAGAAAAGAAACCGGTTAGTAAATTAATAACTCCTAATATAATAGGGTATGAGAATTGGCCACCTCGGTTCCAAAAAAAATTCCGTGATGACAATAATATAACTATGGAAGATGTTGAATTATATCTAAAAAATGTGTTGCCATTTCAAAATGATCATAATAAACAACAAAGCTCGTATCAATCAAGAAGTCAAACATTACCTCCAAGAAGTAGCAAAGGTCGATTTAATGAACCACCTAGACAAGAACAAGTATTTCATAGGTCTAACCCTAATCAACATCCACCAAAGACTGAAATAAGAAGAGTTCAATCTACTGCTAATAGTGCAACTGAATCAAGTAGACAAGTTGTTGATTTTGACCTGCCCACTAAAAAAGAAAGTAGTCATCAGGATTCAAAATCAGCAGAATCTAACTCTAGGGATAATTCTGAGGACAGTATTATAAAGCCGTCTTTAGAAAGTGCTGTCTTTTTCCCTAGTGGTACAATTGTAAGTTTAATTTATATTTAATATTTATGATAATGCATAATTTTGAATGTAATAATTTACTTGTTAAAAATGTATAGAATTGGGCTGAGGAAGTGGAACGAGCTGAAAATATGTCTAAAGTTGCTGAAGATACAAAAAAAGAAGTTGAGAGATTAGAAAATACTGAAAAACGTTCTACTAGGGATAAAAAGCGAAAAAAGTAAGTAATAAAAATGTTAGGTATAAAGTTTTTAATTTTACTAACAAATTCCACTTAGGAGTGTCAGTAAGGATAGAAATTGTATAAATACATTACCATTGCATGACCAACCATCTAGCAGTACTCATTCTAATTGGCATTCTCAGAGTAATCAGAGTAATGATAATTCTGAAAGCTTGAATAGTAATGGTGGTAGTTGGAGAAAAGAAAAATCTAAATCAAATAGAAATCGTAGTAATGATCGGTCGAGAAATCGTTCCCAAAATCGTAGACACAGGTTGGTTTTTCAAGAAATAGCACTCTTTTTTTATCTATGAGTTTTTTTTTTTTGTTTTTTTTATTTAGACATAACAGTGAAAAATCAGCTTCTCGTAAATCTGAAAACATTGGTGGTATTATAAAATTACCACCTAATGTAAATGTTAATTCTACTGACAGTATGTCACTTAGCCTCAGTGGTTATTTAAATAAAACTGTTGTGGCAACAGCTTCACCATCTCCATATCCAGCCAAACAACTGTTCAATCCTAATAACCCTAACAAACCTATAGTGATATCGTCGAAACAAAAAAATTCTAGAGCAGGTTATACTCCCACTAATGTAGAATCACATTATGCCAAAGATCATTTTCCAATCAACAATATAAATTCTACAAGTACTCAACAATATTCTGGCGCACATTTTGGTAATTCACCGCCTGCTTGGTATGATCCATACTCAGAAAGGTACTATATTATTATATAATGCTTACTATACATTAGAATTAGCATAAATATGTATTTATTTTTTTAGTTACCGTTCATCACTTCATCCAGTTTTACTTTTGGATATCAGGAGAGCTGATTCAATTATAGGAGAATTGATTTTTGATACAAATATGCTTCAGAATTGGCCAATTATTAATTCATGCAGGTATATATTATTTTCTAATGTTTTAATTATATTATTTAAACAACTATCACATGAATATTTAAAGGGAATTTTTAAAAGATTCATTGAAAGAGCTATTAAAATCTGATATGAAGTTTTGTCAGCGAGAAAATATAGAAACTCATTTTTGGAAAATTCTATATCATAATATTATTGAACAATTAAAAAAAATTATTACTGAAGATTCACCAGAACTAGTCAAGGAACATACTACATTACTTATGAATTTGATCGAAGAAGTATGTAATTCCAAACAATATATTTAACATTGGTTAATTTAGTTAGTTTAAAAATAAAACTACTCTGTTAAATACTTATAGGGTATGAAGTATTTCACTGATCTTTTAAAATTACTGGAAAAGCATTATAATTTCAACTTGGATGATTATGTTTCACTGACATGTCTGTCTACAAAAAAACTTGGAAACATTGGTCTTGCTTTAATATCATCACAAAAGTTATACATATCGTTAGGAGACTTGGCAAGATACAAGGATGTCTTAAATCATAGCACCAATTATGTTATTGCCAAACAGTAAGTATAAATTTAAACCCAATTATCCTCTATATTTATAATTAAGGCTAAGATTTATAAGCATTCGCATGTTTATTTCCTTAAGTCCAAGTTGATTGGTGTTCAGTATGTCCATAATATGGCTTATTGTCAATTAAATAAAATCATTTTTATTTTTTTTTTTTGTATTTATTTTGAACATAATAAATATAATTGTACATTTGTTGATTTTCGAAAATAATTTTGTTAATTTTTAAACTGAAAATTCAAGTTTTTATAACATTATTAATTGTAAATGGTATTTATTTAATGAACGTTTATTTTTCATATTGTTGTAAATATATTACATAATATGTTATATAATCTTATCTTAGTCGAACGACTAATATAATTATCCACACATTATTTAACGACACACTTATTAGTGGTCTGCACGGACCAAAAATGTTAGGCTCCGGGCTGGTTTGGATTTTCTGCCAACGAATAAGGCCTGTTTTACAGCTGTGCATATTGTTCACGATGTTTTCGAATTACATTATTAATATGACATGTATGAACATTTGGCTGTGAAAGGTGCTTAAAGCCTTAAAGATAATTTTCAAAGCCCGGCTTGGCCCTTATGAATGTTTTATCACTAAAACTGAATTTTTGTACACGTTTTTTACATTCTTAAAAAACCCAACCAGGACTGTAATAGTTTTTATAAATTTAAAAGACTGGCTGTGTCCATGGTTCATTTAATTAAAGTCAGGCTCGGCCTGGATTTAAATTTTAAGGGCCTGGCCCATGCAAGTTTCTAATACTAATATTGTGAGACAGTACAGAAGTATTTCATTTTATTAGTATGACTTATAAATTTCATTAGTATAAAATAATATTTAATGTAATAATAACAAGTTATGTTTAATAATAAAAATTAGTTTTTGCATATTTTTGCATATTTTGGTATACAAAATGCATATTATACAATTTTTAATTGCATACAAATCTTAGTCCTACTTATAATTATAATAATTATAGTTCTAATAATTTTATTATAATTTATAGATGGTATACCAAAGCTAATCAAATAAACCCAAAAAATGGTAGACCCTACAATCAGTTGGCTTTACTAGCTGTGTACGAAAAACGAAAGCTCGATGCTGTTTATTATTATATGAGAAGTTTGATGGCTTCAAATCCCTTTCAATCAGCAAAAGATAGCTTATTGTCTTTATTTGAAGAGTATAGAAGAAAGGTAAATCAATGTTTTAAGTTAATTTAATTATTAACTAACTAGATGTTTGTTACAGTATGAAATGACTGATAGAAAGCGCCAAGAAGATAGGGAAAAACGTGAACGTGAAAAAGCTATGGAAAAAGAAAGTTCTATGTCTTCTAAAGAAAAATACAGTAAAAGAAGAAAGGAAATATGGATTCATCCTGATGGTAATAAACGTTCTCATAGGACAACGTCAACCACTGAACCTTCTCAAGATATTGATGAAGAAGAACTATCTAAACTTTCTCAGTCTGAGGTAATTATAATTTTTTTTCTGGATTAAAATTTTTAGTAAAATAATAAGTGAATATGATGAAAGAGGAATATAAAAAAAATGATATGATTGATGTTATGAAGAATCCTTCCATCAATGGAATTTTTACATGAACTTAGTAATTATAATTACTTAAGAAAGGGAGTATAAATATATTTATAATAATGGATACTATTGGGAAAAAGCTGTTGGTGTATAAATATGTTGTGTTTGATATTTAAAACATTGGATTGACTCTTATAAAGTAAGAGATGGAAAAGTTAGATAGAGAGTTAGAGAGATGAGAGAGTGGGTTAGTTATACATTTAAATTCTTTAAAAAATTGAGTTCATTATTTCCTACGCTGAATGCTTATTAGGTATTGGTGGTGGTTACTTGTAGCAGCTATTACTTCTGTGTTTGATTAATTTGACAGAGTTCCTGAGATTTATGCCATTGATTGTGAAGTTTTAAAATTGGTTATTTGTGGTTATTGCTGTTGATTTTTATGTCTTGAGTTATTTGGTAGGCTAGCATATTTTTTCATTTGCAAGTATGACTACCATTGCTGAGAGCACATTTTACTAGCGAGTCAAGTGATTTGATGCAAATTTTAGTTGAATAGTTCATACCATATTTAACACAGCAATGAGAGTATGAGTAGTAGTTAAAACTTCTCTGAGTGAATTGTTGGATTATACTATTTCAATGTTTTCAAATCCGAAAAAATGATTCAATGCAAACCCGGGTTTACAGTAAAATCCGGATTTCGGATTTCGAACTTTAAAAATCCGGATTTTTCCAATCACTAATGTATAAGGGTACAGCACTTGCATTGTTTACTATTGAGTTCCATAGGTGATCAGTAATTTATTTCGTAATATCTTTTGCACCGCGGTCACTCTTATCATAAGAAAAAATGATAAATAGGCTTCCCATGGTTCACTGGAAATTCGAAATATCAAAACATTTCTGGTGATTTGCATAGATCGGCAAAGTGAAAATCAAAAGTCACATCCTTCAAGGTTTTGAAATTCGCCAGCTCGCGTTATCAACGTTTTTCTCGGAGTATTTTGTTCATTACAAATATTATGTATATAAAACGTTCTAATGATAATTACTAGTATTTAGATTAGACAACAATTGGTATAGACCAAACGGTAATGTTCTCGGAACACACGAGAGCTAATGAAGAACAATCGAAGATCACGGTGTGGTATTAAAATTTAAAATAGGGAGCGGTTGAGAACTTTTTTTGGTTTTTGGTATAAAGATTACGTTTTTATATGGACAACAGTTTATCGAACAATTAACAATAACTCGCATTCATAATTCATTTATTATGTATGGTGACAGATTTAATAGATTTTTGTCTTATTATTATTATTAGTATCGATGTGACCGTATCATTTCGTACAAATAAATTGTTCGTATATTATAATGCATATTTAGAATAAATATGGCGATGTGCCGTTATTACATTTAATAATAATAATAATTTATGATGTACTACTGCAATAACGCCAGAGTTAAAAATCAATTATATTATTTGTTCATTAAATCATATCTAGAGAATTTTTTAATCGTAAACGTCGAAGTATAAATAATAGTGTTATAAAATGCACAAATGCACTAATACATAAAATTGTAATTAGCTTTTGATTTGTAATGTAATCATCACAGTGTGTAGTGTAAAGAATACTCGTATCTATTCGATTTTTTTTATTTTCCCACAACATTAATGGTGGGTTCACGCGTACATCAAAAGATTATTCTCTTATTATTTTTTCCTATAAATCCGTTAAAACTAGGGTATTATTACGGAAACTCACAACCTCACAGTATAGTATATAGTATGTTTCAAAAAAAAACGCAGGATTTAAATCTGCTATAAATTAAATTTATTTCTTTAAAAAAAAAAAAAACAACAAATATATCGTTCTCATCAGGAGAAGTTAAGGTTTAACAGTGAAAAACAATATCGGGCATATGACCCTCCCTACTAGCCCTATAGGTGATTATTCTTTCCATAAAATTTAGCATCACTAGATAACACATTGCCCCTTCAAGTTCGTCGAGGTTCTTGCTTAAGTTCCAAGATATTTCAAACTTTATTCTGGTAACTTCGTAATTTAAAGTATTCTTATAAGAAATCCAATATCTGGTATTCTATTTTTTCATTTGTTTAAAAATGTATGAGAGTTCTATATTTATCAAGGGTATCTATTTGTATTTTTATATACATTGTAGTTAATTTGCAGACATGAGCCTTCTTGTTCGATTAAATCGGTGATTGCAAGAATATTAATAAAGTTGATTGTTCCTTTTACATATATTGATGGCTATTGATTTTAATTTTTTTATTTTGGAGTTTGTGTGTTCAAATTCGCTTTGGTTAGTGACATCATTATCAGAAATATTGGGTTCTTGAAAATTATATGGAAAATAATTTTGATTTTTTCTCTTGATTGTTGACCAGAGTAACCAGTTAAAAGGAAAGGATGTGTTGAAGGTTTTTTTGAGATATGATGTAGAGTCTTTACTTATTATTTGACCATTAATTATGTTAATTGGTTGTACCATTTTGGGCTGTTTGTTTTTATTAAGGAGCTTACATGGTGCAGTTGAATAATCTAAAGTCTAAAAATCACTGTAATAATCTAATAATGGTGTCTGAGAATGATGGATAGATAATGATATTTTAAAAATAATAATAATTAACTATACTTATATTAAATATATAGTTTAAATTGCTGGTACTAGAGTAATTTGATTGTATTATTTTATCAAATTTGAAATGAATTAGATTAAAATCCCTTAATAATATCGAAGATTAGTTTAACTTAAGAAAAAATGGAACGTACATGTTCTATGTGATTATTCATGCTGAATTATTTTTTTTTTTATTCTAATTACATTATATAATATTTGTATGTTTAAAATAAATTGATGTAACATTTAACTCAGGGGTTCAACAGGTAAGGGATCCTTTCTAGAAGTGTATAATTTATATATATATATATATATAATTATTTACTGATATATACCAGAAAGTTAAAGAGATCCTTCCTTGTGTAATAGAATAATTTGATTGATTATTTATTTCACATTCACTGATCTTTTTACTGGTATTCGTCAATTGCGCCAATTTTGGGACACTACCTATATAGTGTACATCTATTGCGCCGGTATAAAAAGGGTATATTAAAAAGGTATACATCTATTGCCCCTGTTTAAAAGAGTATATTTAAAAGGTATACATCTATTGCGCCGGTATAACAACTAATACAATTCAAGTAAAAATCATAATGTCTAAAAACAAAAATCAAACTTATCATTCTACATACTTGGTATTTACACTAATCCTACACATTTTGAAAAGTTTTTAGGTTTAATATTAAAATTAACTGTCTATTTTACTATTTATTTTTTTGTCATAAATTTAGAGTTTGGTCTATTTGTGATAACTAAGAGAACACATATTATGATTGTTGCGTTATATTATTTTTAAAACTTCATAAAAAACAAAAATATTTAGGTGGGGTGAATAAAAATATTTCCCAAACGCTAAGTGAAATGCCTCACAGGTATTTGTTGTTCTTTCGCCTGATATGTTACACAATGATCAAATTTATGGGGGAAAAGTTGCATTTTAAATAACATATGTATCAATGAGGTAATTGCAAAATGTATTAACTCGAATATCGATCTGTGCAATAGATGTATACCTATAAATAATACCCTTTTTATACCGGCGCAATAGATGTAGATCAATAGATGACCTTTTTTCATCCCATAATTTTTCTTTCTTGACTTGCGATTTTCGGCGCAATTGATATAAATTCATTTTTACATTTAAATATTTATTTTTTTCTACAATTTTATTCCAGGTAAATAAAAGATTCATTGTCAGTTTTCTTCATGTTCACGGAAAACTATTTACTAAAGTTGGGTAAGGTTCAATCTTTTACATTAATCAACTATTATTAAATAGTAGAAAGAAATAATAATTATAAATTTTATAATTATTATTTCTTAAACCATAATAAATTATGTTTTTTCAGTATTTGTATGATTTTTAACATCATCCCTGTTATCTGTATTTTAAGTTTAAATTAATAAAATACAACAGTTTAGCAGTTATTTGATATACATATATATAGATATATATATTTGGTTTAATGGCCATGTCTTTTTTTCACAAAAAAGCTATCATTTTTAATTTTAAATACTAAATTGTGCAAGTGTGGTATTTTAAATTATATATTCAAAGTAAAAATACCAAATATTGAATTAATTTTTCCAAAGTATTTACTTAAACTTAACAATACTTTCAAACAACTTTTTTTATTGTATAAGCAATTAAATAAAATAACATTTTTATTTTATTTATAAACATTGAGTTATTTTAATATGAAATTTAGTACTTATAATATTACTTTTAACATTCATTGTTAATTAATTTCATTGATATTCTTTTTTTTAACTTCTCATATTATTCTAATTTGAAAATATTTTTAAGTTTGTTTAAAAATATAAATACATTGATTTGTTTATTATAAAATGTGTATTATTGCTAGTCCATGAATTAAAATTGTTTTTTTAGTATGGAGAGTTTTCAAGATACCGCGTTACAAATGCTAAGAGAGTTCCGTAAATTATTATCAAATACACCAATACCAATTATAACCACAAGGTTTCTGCAATATTTAGCATTAAACATGTTTGCAATTGAAAACAGTCGTCCAAAAGGTAATTAATTTAAATACAATTTAAACGTTATATTACTTAATGAAATTATATATTGGTATTGTATATTTACTATTTAATATTTGTTATGTATATTACATTTTATATTCATATAATTCTATATATTATTTTAATTTAGAAACACATGTAGTACAGGGGTATTGGTCTACAGTACACGAGTGTGCATTGGTTATGTCATTGCAAATGTTCAGTTTAATTGTTGATAGGTGTAATCAACTTTTAAAAGACATTTTGTCCAAAGATGATGGTTCTTCAGCTAAGCACTTGATCGGTAGTGACATAGATTTTCTGTTACCTGCTATTAAGGTAAAATAATTGAATTAAAATTAAAATTACTACAATTAATATAAAATGTAATTTTAGATTTGGTGTGATTGGTTGTTGTGCAATTCTAAAGTGTGGAATCCACCACCATCATGTTCAGATTATAAACTCTCGTAAGATTTTTAGTTTTTGTTACATTTTTAAGAATTACATTTAATTTTAGCTTGATTATAGATTTACATTATAGTGATTTTTATTATTTATTTTTTGTAAGTTGTATGTTTACTATGGGTTTTTTTCAGTGGGACAGGTGATTGTTGGAATCGATTAGCTTCACTAGTAAACAACTTAGAAAAGTTCCAAGAACATTATAAACTGTTTTTGAATGAACCTGATGAAAATGATCCAAGTAAAAACACAATCTTCTTTTATTAAACATTATTTTTTAAGAACTTATAAATAATATACGGTTTATACTTTATAGATTTAACTCAACAACTTAAGCTGCCCGAAGATTCTATGTTTAGTGGATTCACACCGATAATTGGTTATGAATTGAAACCAATATTTATTAAGACCACTTCTGATAGAGTAAATATTTTGTTGTTAACTTTTTAATTTTTTAAAGTGTATTTAACAATTTTTATAATATATGTATATTTTTAGGATCTATCTGAATTAGCCCACAGAGTGAATTGTATATTGTTCTTTGGCACAGAATTTTTGTGTGGTACTGAACCACCCGTGTTTAAATTGCATAAAACAGATACTGGAGCAAGTGAATACATTTCAGTTGTTGAAACAGCCAGTCCTAAAGATGATGTAAGTTTCATTATATAATATATAGTGTAATATTAAATGTTTTATTCATTATATTATGTGATAGAGCGAAGACGAAGATATGTGTTTTGAGAGTTGGATTGATGAAGAAAATGATTCTAAGTCAAAACAATCTGAAGATAAATCTATATCTGAATTTAATGCTAAGCCGCTTTCAAATGAAATACAGAGGCTACTGAGTAGAAAAGAGGAATTGGAACAAAAACAACGTAATGAAGAATTAAGGCAAAAACGTGTCCAGGTATGAAATTTATTGAAATACTAAAGAAACTAAAGTAAATTGTTTTAATACTAGTTACAATTATTTCATAGGAAATACTGAAACAAGCTTCTTACTGTGTTGAGATTGAAATCAAACCACATTACGTAGTACCCGACACTAACTGTTTTATTGACTATTTGCCACAACTAGAAAAATTAATGTATTCATTCTCACATGCCCAAGAACACATATGTACTCTAATGGTTCCTACTGTTGGTAAGTTAAAATATAATAAGTTATATAAATATAGTTATTATTTTATGTATGTATATTAAAAAATAAATAAAACACTAATACATAATTTATTTTTATTTTTAGTATTGATTGAATTGGAGGGATTAGCCAAAGGTGGATGGGTCAGAGATTCAGTGTGTGAGGCAGCTAAACAAGCATTAAAAATATTAAAAAATATTGATACTGCTGCTGTTAAGTTTGTCACAACCAAAGGATCGAGTTATAAATCTACCATATTTTTTGAAGAAGAAACTAATTTTGTATGCTTTGATAACTATTAAAAATTAACAATAATTTCTATGTTGTTATTTTAATTATTGTTTATTTTAGGTTGGCAATAATGATGATAAAATATTAACAACTTGTCTAAGTCTTTGTAAAAATAATTCACAATCATCTGTAGACAGTACACAAGCAGAAGGTAAATTTGTAACTTCAATGATTTGACTAAAAAAAAGTGTTTTTTTATTTTACTAAAATTTATTTTTGTAGGCGAACCAAAAAAAATATACCGAGATGTTGTACTGCTGACCGAAGATCGTAATTTAAGAGTAAAAGCTCTATCGTCAGATATGCCTGTCAGGGCAGTAATGGATTTCATAAACTGGTTGAACTTCAACAGTAGTTAATCAAATCAAATACATTAGTAGGAATGCCATTTTGTTCCTAAATATAAAGACTTGAACTGACATTTATAAAACCATTGCTTATGGTGAGTGTTTATAAATAATCATCCATTTTATCTAATTATTATTTTATGTTATAAATATTTATTTTAAGAAATTAAACAATTATTGTTAGTGAAAAATTAAAATAATGAGATTAAAGAGAACAAGGTATTTTGAAAGTTTTTTAGTTTAAAATGTATACATTTGTTATACTATTATGTTTTTTATTCAATAAAACTAACAATAGGTAGTTTTAAGTTAGTTTAATTTCAATGAAATTTCCACATACATTAAATTAAGTAAAAAATAAGTGAATATTATTCATATATATTAAGTATAATGTACTATATTTGTGTATAATTATAATTTTAATTTAACATTCAAATGAGTTTGTAATAAAAAGTAGAATATGAAAATAAATTAAAATAGTTAAACTATTGACTCATCATTCATCTCATTGTAAGAATTTGGTATTATATTTTTAACTAAAAATTCTGTTGATTCTATAAGTATTTATTTTATGGTTTATTTGTTCTTTATTAATCAAATTATTTGACACTTTAACTTAAGAATATAATTATAACATTTTTTTTGGACTACATCTGTTCTAACAATTTCCTATTGTAAAATATTTGAATGTGATCTCAGTGAGTCAGTACAGTGAGTACTGCTAAATATGATCATATTGGTAAAAAGACGTTTTGATACCACTAGGGAGTTGATTGGATTAATTGAAAAATCAAGATATATTTTTCGTTATTAATACTTAATAAAAGGCAAAATAATTGATACATATTTTTAATAATTTGTTAATAAGTTGGTTGAGTTAAAATTGTTCTGTAATTTCTTCAGTAAATCAATATTTTTTTAACCGTACAGTTTAGTTAAAAAAAAATAAAGATTGTTTTTTCAAACCAAGTAAACCTAAAAATAATAAATAAATTTATAGTGTTTAATCAAATGGCCTATCTTACAATAAACCATATAGCTTTACAATATATTATATTGACATGTATTATTAATTATTTTATAAAAATTCAATAAAACATATTATTCTAAACTGGATTTAAAAGTTGTTAATAATTTTAAAGAAATATTTAAAACTCACATAATGGAGAAATTTAAATGTTCAACCGATGTGTATGTGCGAATAATCTTCGGTTATTATAATAAATATTTTACACACTAATAAGTGCAGATCTTGATGCCATAACATTTGTTCAGAAAATAAACAAGAATGAAAACAAACAGTTGATAATTTATATCTTGGCGTTAAAAACAGTGTGCCTGCGTTATGATTATTATTATTTATTTAGTAGGCACAATCGTCCTGGTACATGTTATTAATGCAGAATGTGGTATTATTTACGAGTTTCGAAGTATGTTAATTTCATAGGACTAGTGGCGTAGATAACATTTTTTCCGGGGGGGGGGGGGGTTTGTTTAAGAGTCAATTCATAATATTAGTACATCTTAATACGAGGTCTTATGTAATAATCAGTGGCGTAGTTGCGGGGAGGGTGTAAGAGGTTTCCCCCCACAGATTTCTTCTTAATAATATTTGATTATTATTTATTAATATTTACATATTATAGTAAAATATTTTGATTTTACTATGATTAGGTATATATTAAAAATTGAGTGACAAAATAATTTTCATTAAATACAGGACATAATAATAATACCATTTTGAATGTAATATTATTATATATGACCTCGTTTTAAGATATACTAAGAACATTTAAAAATTTACTCTTAAACACCCCCCCCCTTCCCAAAAAAAATTGTATCTACGCCACTGATAATAATATTACATTTTAAATGGTATTATTATTATGTCCCATATTAATGAAAATTATTTTGTTACTCACTTTTTAATGTATACCTAATACCTAATGAAAATTTCACGAAAAGTAAATATACCGGCGGCGGCACTAAATCCGAATACGTGTACGTATGTGTTATTGACTTTTTTGTGTTCAATTTGAAATCATGCGCGCGTAATACTTTTAAAACGATTTAATATTGCTGCTGGTCATCCGCACGCCGTGTGGATTGTTTTATCATTTTTTTTCTTGTTGTTCTTCTCGATCGGTAAGAATGTATTATTCAAACCAATCCAACAGTCAGTCGCTTCGTGCGTGCGTCGTGAGTTATGAAATACAGTAGTTAGCATAGATACTACCACTACAAAAAAAAAAAAAGAAAAAAAACAAATATAAAACGTAACTGGTTTACAATTCCGTGATTGTGAATAGTATGATGTAGTATGTAACGTAAATTTACGTTTCATTGCGTTCATATTTTTCGTATTATGATTTGTACGATATGATTTAGAATTTTAACTGTAATTTTCAAAAACAGATTTTGATTTCAAACGAAGCGAGTGTACTGATTTTGTCGTTTGCTTTACTTTTTTACTGTCAACATTTTTTCGTCTGTTTATTCTAATTTATACATAAAATCTCGTAAAGTAAAACTCAAGTGGTCGGGAATGGGAGACAAATTTACTCGATGTTGGTTGTTAAAAAATGCGTAAGATTTTTATCACATTTTTATGATTTGAAGTATCATTACGGATAGTTTAAAATGTACTGACATCGCGGTATCTTACCAGTTTTTTTTTCGTTTCGAAAAAGCGATGAATAAATGTTTGAAAAAAAAAAATGTTTTCCATAAACGTTGTCTGTCCCTAGGTAAATGGATGATTTTTAACATTCCTTTGTTGATTGTTTGTTTGTTATTTTTCGATGAACCAACTTTTTGTACCGCGATCGGCAATCGAAGATTTGCGACCCTAGCACGCCTGTTTGCTCTCGAATCCCGGAACCGCGTGTCTGTATAATATCATATTGTATAACGGCGACTCTATCCCGGGAAAGAACCAACAACAAGTCCTTGACCATTATTTCTCGCTGAACACGCGGCCGTGCGTTAACACGGTTATCTGTTTTCAACCTGTATTATAATGGGTTCGTTTGAAAAAATCACCGCCTCTACCTCATTGTCGCGTGTTATTAGATCGCGTCTCGTTATTACAACTAACCACGGACGCGTCATTTGTATACATTTAACATATATATCTTTACCGTGCGAGCGTAATGTAATTGGGACCAAAAATGCACTGATCAACAACAATACGGATTTTGATTAACACACATAATATTACGTACTCATTGTGTGCACGCACTCGTTCTCGTTGTTGCAGTCACACACGCACACACGTGTATTATTATAATTCGGGCGCGTCGCGTGTCGTATTTTATCGTATGTAGTTCAATCGGATAATGCGAATAAGATCGCGAATAAGACGTTTTACCTATTATTATAATACACATTATTAAATATACTTATAAAAAACATATATGTAAAAAAAAAACACATTGTCCAAGTGTACGCAATAATCGCTATTGAACCGAAAAAATTCCAAGTCGTATAGTGCCGTAATTACCCTCCGTGGCGCGTATGGCTAATTATGTTTTGGCTCTTATTTTGTACAAAATAAAACTGATTTTAATTTAACTCTGAAGCGCCAACCCTTATTTTTCTGCGTTTTTGGTACGTCTTGTACGTTAACCTTATACGATCGCACACGTTTATAATCATGTGACAAATGTGTACGGTTATATTGTACGATGCAGGGTGACCCACCGTGAGATCCTGGTGGAAATATCTCCGTTGCTGTTAATATTTTTGGAAACTTTGATTATAGTACAGTTTAATAGAATTGGGTTCCATTAAATGTATCTAATTTTTATATTTTATCTCTTAATCGGTTGAGAAAAATAACTTGCAATTTTAATTTCTTGTTACGATCAATATTATAAATACGGAACACGTCGATTTCTATAAGTTGTATTTTATAGTCATGTGCGAAACATTCGAGTTAAATATAATTATGTAGAATAACGAATAATGAATAATCGTAAAAATTGAAATGTAAAAAACTAAAGCAGTCCCTGGTACACTTAGTAATATCATATCGCGTGGTGTGACGCGTGTTACGCCATTTGTTAAATTATTATTATAAAAAAATATCATTGTGCCATGTCTTGCAAGTAGATCCGGATTTCAATCCCCTGCTAGGTGCATCATCCTTGTGGACCTGCGGTACGCCAGACGGCAAAAAATATTCTCGTCGATTATATTGTATACCGTTATACGCGCTGTTATCATCGGAACGAAAAAAAGTACTTAATGAATTAATGTTACTAATATCAATTTATATACGAGTAGAATGTGTTCGTGGCATAAAACGATATATCAACTCCTGTGATTCTGTAACATCGAGTGGGACACTCGGGAACGCACGGCTGCGGTGATATAAAAATAAAAATAAATGTTTATTAGTAGTCGTTGTTCATTTTTAATGAACGACTGATAATAAAATATAAAAACATAACGGTAGCTGTATAGTGGCGGGTTTATCTTTTTTTTCTCTCGTTTTAACCGATTAAATATGTATGTAAATTTAAATATTTTATTTTCGGTGTTTTTTTTTCTTTCGATTTCGTGCGAATTTTTAACGAAACCTTGTACATAATACTATATTTATACGCAAATGATTTTCGTTTTTAAATAACTATTTTATTAATTCTATCAACTCGTATAGTGTAGTAAATTACGTGAATCAACCATTAAGCGGAATTCGTTTGATCGTTTTCTCTCACGAGCACGATGTAATATATTATAATACGAGTTTGTTCCGCTCTTGATGACACACATGAGTGCATTCAATAGTATTAGTGTTAGTTGATAGTATAGTGATATTAAAAGAAAAAAAAAAAAAATTTAAAACCGTTTTTTTTTCTTTTCTTTTATGGATTTTCAATAATAACGACACGATATCGTGAATTCGCGCAGTACTAATTGCGTTGTTCCGAGGACAGTGGTTAGAATCCTTTATTTTATGCGCGTATAAATAACGGACTGGGCCAAAAAAATTTATAAATTTATTTTAATATTGTATTTGACGATTTATCCGGGACTTTTCTCGTACATAAGACGGGAAAACGTTAGCGTGGGAACATAATTTTGTTTTTTTCGTCAACCTCATCTCGCCTCTGTATACGTTATTAGCTGGTATGCGGACAACGGCGTACATGTACAATTATCGAGTGATATTTTCGACCGCTTTTTACCACCCGTGCGTTGTCACTTATTTGTATAATCGTGTATGCACCGGATACTTACTGTTTACAATACGAGTGTATATTAATCTCGGGTAGCTACGCACTCGGCGTGTTTTACCCGGGCCATCTCGACGGGTTCATATTTTTACCAGTTTAATCCGAAACGAAGCATAATAATGCACTAATATTATAAATAGAACACACTGAATAATGTTATCGAATTCATTATATAATACGGATTATCGTCATTCGATGTATTGCCATGTAATATTCTGTGGTACTACTCGGAGGCGGTTTGAACATTTTTTACATCTTACCGGGGCAGATTAATTTAAACCATTCATCTACCCCGAAAAAATTGTTTTGGTTTCGTTCGGTTTACATTGTAACTGCTTAAACGTTAATTATGTATCACCAAGTATGTTCATAAATGTACTCATCATATAGCGATTAAATTTTAATTTATTTAACCAAAACGCACCACAAAATGTTTTTACCGGGGCACCGTGCCGGTAGTAAGTGCTTACAAACCGTTTCCGGTTATGTTACTACCTCTTCAGTACTACCACCTTGTGTTCTGCTTACCATAATAAAACGGGTATAATACATCGTGTAAATCCAAAGGATTTTTCTCCGTCGAAATTCGGAATGTATCGTTCTGTGTAGCGAATAGAAAGCAACACCTAATTCATATATTTTTAGTACGTGTTGGTGATATGAAACTAACGTTTGATGCAGTAATAGTACATACACATATAACATTATTGGCTATTGCGTTATTGTAAAATGTTCTGTGTAGTAACGACTTGTGTTTTTGTTTTTGTTCACAGGTGCTTACTTAACTCTCTATCTACTATCTATCTTGCGATACTCCACGCATTTCAAACGTTAACAATACATACAGTCTGATCAACGTTTTTAATTTTAATTTTCCGACTAAGTGATGATAATGTTCAAATATTTTAATGCTGTAAATGATTGCCGTGTACATAAAGTACCTTATATATATATATTATATTTATTTATATATATATATTGTGTATGTATACGTGTATATATTTGTAACGTAAACGAAGAAAAAATAGAAGATTCACACACACATTTGTACACCAAGGGTCACGACGAAAAAAAAACGCTGGCGACAAGTCATACAGAACAGAATTTGCATGAAATCATTATTTTGAAATCTGCGAGCTTCGCTCGTGTGTTGTGTTTATGCGTTTCTGTGTCTCGACGTTTCTTGAAGACCGCATGTAATGATAATATTTTGTTTTAGCTTAGTTTTATTATTTTATCTTATCGTTTACGGTTTTACTTCTCGTTCAACGTGTTTCTTGATTCGCTCGTTTTCTTAAACTGTCGTAGACAATTGCAATAATATTATTTCGTATCCTGTACCACGTGCACATCGCAAGCACGAGAGTATGATTCTTCCCGTACGACGACCCATCACAATGAGTCTTAATTCATTCCGTCAGCTCATACTCACTCATCGTTTCATCAACTCTCGAACTTTGCTGTATGTTCAGTGTTTTTCGTAGTTTCACCGAGAGTTCAAATTAGTAACAACCACGCTACAATAATTGAGTCGAAATGCTGTCGAACTCCTAACAACAACTAGCACCAAAAATATCTTAACCCTCCGACAATTCATAAATGTTACGGATATATCGTTAAACACATTACCACGCCACCTTCTCTACGATGTATACGACGTATTGTAGTATCTAGCTTAGAGTCATATTGTGTACGTAATATCTTCATTATTTATAATACGGTGTACACAACGCAGCACTGAAATTCACTTTGATTTTGCAATATTTACATTTCTCACGGTGAACGTCACAAAACGCGAAATACCTCCGAATGATTAGCGAAGTATAATAGTAACGGTAGTTAATTTATAATATCTCGATTATTGTACGGTAATACGTTTCATCCTCATTTTTTTCGGTTTAGTTTAGTTTTTCTTTTTTTTAGCGCACGCATATCATTATTTACCTCTCGCCCGCCGCGCCGTAATAGGAGACTATATATTTATATATACATATATATTTACAGCATATAATTACTATTAAATTGTAGTCATTGTACCATGGTTCGTATTCTTATTTTATTAAAATTAAAGTATATTTGTACTATTTTAGATATTTGACGGTTTTTTTGTAATATTTCTTTTTTATCCGTCTTGTTTATAATACACGAATATTATATATAATTCGACGTGTAAAATTTTAAAAATATTTTTATTCATAAATTATATATGTATAATGTATTTTTATTTTTAGTCTTTCGATATAGTTAGTTTATTTTATATAGTTGTTAATTTATTATTAATACTGTTTTCCTCTTGGGAATATTAATTTAGTGAATCGATTATATAGCTCTGTACAAACAAGCAACATAAAACAGAAAAAAAGAACTGAATATTGTAATAATAATGATAAAACAATGTAACGTTATATACTTATAGTTTACGACGAGCCACCCGCAAGGAACCGGAGCCTGTTTATGTTAATTAAAGCACCAGTCATAGTCCAGGTGAACTCTGATCGATAGTGGTAATCATTTACATTATATTTTATTTAAACAAAAACATGCATTAATTAATTTGTACGTTCGGTTATTTCCGACATTTTTGTTTTACCGTGTATACTTACATACTAGGTATATATTATTATTTTCACAAGAGTTAAATATTGTATTGTATCGATTTGTCAGCGACCGTTGTTACTCGCCGTGTGGTTCATTTTAAATTATCTGTAATAAAAGAAAAAGCTCTTTATTCTAAGCAACACGCTTCGTATGGTTTTTAATTTATTGTTATGTTTTACCTAAACCTATTTTTACTCGTTGTCGCGCTCAAAAGCCATTCGAAGATTAATCTACTTTGTCACCTCGATTGCTCCAAGTGTACCGAACTTGAAATGTGAAGAGTTCGCTCGGTCCTTCTATTTCCTATTTGTATTAATAAAAGCGTATCCTTTGAGTACGTATGTACATCTTATTATTATTATTTTTTCTCTGAGGATCACTTGAAACGTTATTTTCTTGGTTACCTCCAATCGTGTTGTTCGATTTAATGAACGAAAATAAACACAGTGGAAACTCCGTTCTAGGTAAATGTGTACAAATTATATTAGCATGTTATATAATAATGCCGTAGATAGTGCATGCATCCTTTTGCCTGCACCATGGCTGATCATTATGTTGTCGTTATAAAATAATAAAAAACCAACGGAACATTATAACTTCACTTGTAATTTGCAGTACCAGTGTAACCGCGTAACCATAATCACTTCCGATCCTATTGGATATACTTATAAGTATATAATGTGAGTGTTGACTATAATTACTTATCGATACTTGTTTACAACAGTAGTGTCACATTTGTCGCTCTATCTCCTTGTTGGATCGCAGTGCACTAACGATAAGAAAAACAATATCACGCCACTTTCGGGCCGAACGGCTAATGTTATTTGAATCAAAACGAACGTACGACGATTTCAATAATTTGTAAAATATTTTTTTTTTACTTAGTTATTTATTAATTTTTAATATAATCACATTTATCGCACTTTTGCATGGTGGTTGACAACCCATCGGTCGCAGTTTTCGGCAGGCTAAAGTTTTAAAAAGTACAATGATCCGACATGAAATGACCTGTTCGTGTTCTTATATTTTCACAATCGACCGATTGCTATCGATCGCTAACACCGAACATGTCCCAAATACAAGTATTTAAAAAAAATTGTTTTTAAGTAATAACTGTATAAACACATTAAATTATTTTTATCCTTCACGATTCTGCCCATTGGTTGTTGCATCATTTGTTGTTTATAAAAATGGAAACAAATAATGAATCGTTCAAATTCAATGGAATGAAGTAGTAAATCGATTTAGTCAATGAAGTGGTTTATAACTTACAATAATTAAGAACAGGAGCAAGACAAGGTATGTGTATTAATTATATTCGGTATAGTCAGTATCATAATTTAGAAAACATAATGGGTCAAACAAGTCCATACACTGTTGTCAGATTTTTTCAATGGAATAAAATAATAATTCAAAATTTGTACAATTCCATATTTTTAATAATTTCAATTTTTTCAAAAATATATCAAATTTCGTTGTTAAAAAAATGAAGTATGAAAATACAAAAAAAATTCTTCGTACATTTATCGATGTTTATGAATAACAAATAAAAATAGCATTGAAATAGGATAAAAATCGCACGGAAGTTCTACATATCAGAGAACTATAGACTATAGTCATAGGCTTACGCGCGTTTTATTTAATTTACATACATTGAACAATGGAGATACCAATTGTTCCTCGTAAATAATAAAATCAAATAAGAGACATGGTAATCTATGCAGGTATATTGGACAAACAATAAATAAATCGAGCTTTACTGTACAATATAACATTTGCATTATAAATGGATACAATGAAACTGGTTCTTAGGAAGATCGAAAACGCATGAATCATCCTCAAAAACTAAAATCGCATTAAAAGAATACCATTCTAAGGATAATCGTGACGAAATCAAAAATTAGTGCACCCAAATGGTTTGGTATGAATAACACTGACTATAGGTCCGTTACCCCAGTACCACCAAATTGTAAATAGAACTCCAAAATTATCCTATCGATTGTTATTTCATTTGTACAGATTTGTAATCGTCATTTGAACACTTGTACACCTCCCAAAACTCGGGAAAATCAACTATTCCGTGCCGATACCGGTGTAACCGTTACCCCAGTACCGCCATCGGCTTATATTGGTCCTATCGACTCCGGACTGGTACACACGATTGTTATTTCATTTGTATACATTTGTAATCGTCATTTGAACATTTGTACACCTCCTAAAACTCGGGAAAATATAAAAACTATAGAAACTATAAATTCTTTTGATTTTATTAAACAATAAAAATATATACACGTTACAACCATTCAATTCTTGATGAAACGGTATAATGACAACACTTTCTTAGTCCAGTTATAAATGTATTTCAGTTTTTAGCATAAACTATTTATATTATTAAATATAGTATTAAACTCTATTCAAGCTGTATTATCCGACAGCATTTGAGAATTCCAGGAGGCTGCTATTGACATAGCCTGTGGCTTCCCGATGAAGTTTGTAAAATACGATCAAAATTTTCCACCATCTAAAATACCTAGACCTACACACCAGCATAAACACTATATACGTCATACATAATAAGAATAGCTAGTTTTACACACGTATCTAATCACCATTATTAGATATTGTTTTATTTGTGTACGTATTGAATGTATCATGTTGTTTGTAGTCGATTGGACCAATCTGAGGTACTGAGGTAACGGTTACACCGGTACCGCCCCGGAAAAATTGATTTTCCCGAGTTTTGGGATGTGTACAAATGTTTAAATGAAGATTACAAATCTGTACAAATGAAATAACAATCGATAGGATAATTTTGGAGTTGTATATACAATTTGGTGGTACTGGGGTAACGGAGCTACTGACTATAATGTAAACGCTATGTCATTAGAAATGCGGGATATAAAAGTTGTGTAGCTAGGATAAAACTTTTTATCAGTCGAGTTAGTAAAAATAAACATTTGGATTTTGCAAATGCACACATCGATAAAAGAAATTATTTTTTGAGGTCTGTATACTTAGTGATGAAAGCAAGTTTAATATTTTTCGTTTAGGTGGACGAATAATGATGTATATTAGATTTTTTTTTCCATACCATATATGGTGTTGAACTTTCACCGTTTAATGTAGTTAATATGAATTATATTCTTATTATTTCAGTCATCGTGGAACGGTCGTTCAGTCAATACAAAAACATTTTACGATCAACTTGTTCATATTCATCAATTGTTCAAATTACATTTTTAAATCTTAAAGCATATGTAGTGTCGCATTGTTTTAATAGTTAATACTGTAATACTAAAAATTAAAAAAAAAAAATTTTGAATTCCATATGTCAAAAATATTTCATCAAGTACATATTTTGTTGTTTTTATTTTTTTACATATTTTAGTTTTTATATTACAACAAAATCTGTTTTCGAATTCGTCATATGAATTGTGTTTTTACTTAGCGCATTATATACACATATTATTATACAGACGTTTTAGGTTAATCCCGTTGCCAAACAAAAATCTAATTAAATTGTATTTATTTTTTATTTGATTTATCGCCGTTTTCAATCTTCATACACGCATTATCTACCAATCCAGCAAGTGGCCTACAACGCAGCAATTGCATTGATCGTTTAGATAAATAATAAACATTTCCAACAATTCGCGACGACTATTTTTGTACGATACAACCGTGACGAAATACTGTCTGCGTACACACTATAATTGTTTGTTGTCCATTATTGCATTAATTGCATTCACCTTGACCTGATGCAGTGTATATATTACATTAGCAGCAAAATATAGCATATTACATTACTGTACACACACGCATGGCCGTTATTGGTTAGAGTGTTAGAGATTTTTTTCACTTTTTGGTTACTCAGGAAAAATATATTGTTTTGTTTTATGTGTTGATTTTAATAATTACCGATTGAGGTATTTGTAAATAAATATCAGTAGAACACACGAAGATTGTGCTCTTTTTCGACCTCAAATTTTAATTTACATCGATATAGTTATTAATCTAATCTAAACCAGTAAAATATCTCCCGGGTGAGGTCGAGTAATGCAGCAATATAATATAATATAATATAATACAATATAATATATCATAATAATATATACTTTTAAAATATCTAATAAAAACAAAAATTTGTTGTTAAGTAATTTCAGTGGCGTATTTATGGGGATGTTGATGGTTTCCCCCTCAGAGGATTTCCAGACCTTAAATTTTGAAGTTTGATAATTTTGTAAATTCTAATAAAGGAACAATTTTAAAATTTAAAAATTTAATTAATTGTACAAAACTAATAAAACCCCGGTACAATAATATTGTTGTTTTTTACCGTGCAAGTCGCAACAATTTATATACTCTACACGCCTATTGCTGTAGCCTGTAGTTAGCAGAAAATTGCTGTCTATCAATAGTGGAGATAGTAGGATGAAGATTGCATTTTGTTTCAGAAAAGACTTAATGGCCTTGCCTTGTTATCGATTCGTCCAGATTTAAATACTACTACCGATGGATTT